CATTGATCTGTGATCTGTATGTAGATCCAGAGCCATCTCATTTCACTCAAACTAGAACGTGAGAAGGGCACGCCCTGAAGGCATGTTGTATCACCCAACAGTTGTCACTGGGATAGTTAGTCAGATGTCACAATATCAATATCAGAACGATATGATCTTTATGGCATATCCAGTCTTGAGCGTTCTCGTTTGAGCGGCAACGTGAACCGCTCCCTTCAATCAATAGGTTCGTCCGTGTCTTTCCCTATCTCATCAGATTGCGTGTGACTGCAACTTTGGGCGCTTCTTCTAAAGAATTCCTAGTTCATGCCAATATTTTAGGCTTATGAGCGGCAATGGGCTGGGCGAACCCAACTGAAAAGACTAACCAGACCAATGCTTCGGTCATAAAAGTCCACTCATTGGCTTGTCTATGGACAGCAGCTGTTGGCGTTGTTAGTTTCTTGTGTTGTTGTTGTTGCTATTGTACGAGTAAGTGGCTTTAAATCTTTGTATGAAATTGGCGTAGAAAGTGGCTCAGCAACAACAAAAGCACGACTAGTCAAAATAAACTAAAGTAAGCTCTCCGACGAACCAAGCAGGCACAGACACAGACACAGGCAGAGGCAGAGGCAGAATCGCTACCGCCACTGCCACTTCCACTGCCACTGCCACTACCGCCCGTAGTCGTCGCAGCCACCCGAGAGCACACACCCCGCGGTGCAAACTTTGGTCGAGCGCACGGCACATTACAAGCGTTCGATATAAATTTCTCAAAGTTATTTGTACCAGGTGGGCCTTTTATTGATTTATGAGCGCAGCTACGTGCCTAGTTATCGGTGAGGCCAAGCTAAGGCGTTGCAAACCTCATCATCATTGTCGTCATCATCATCGTCGTCATCATCGTCGTCATCACCAACATCGGTGAATGGTGAACGAGCGAGGCGAAAACTGTAAATGACAAAACTCTCTCACCAGCGAAGGAAGCTGAACATCCGCTGCAGCTTGCATCTAATAACTTAAATATGATAATAATACCGATGCAGGTCTACAAACTGGTTTTTCGACTCAAACTTTAACTAAAACCAAAGGCGACGCTCCACAAACTCACACACACACACACACGCATACATACACGTGCACAGACACACACACACATACATGGCACGCACTGATTAAATGAAATGGGGAAAAAGAAATAATTAGCATGGGGCAACTGACGGTTGACTGCATATTGCCAACATTCATCTCAAAAATAACTTCATTGTCAGTCCTAACTTGGTTGCTCGGTATTGTTGTTGTTGTTGTTGTGGTTGTGGTTGTTGTTATGGCTACTGCTTCAGTTCAGTTCTATCAAGCTCCACAGCACCTGTTCCTTGGCCCAACTATAAATATAGAAAAGATGTTTGGCATGCTTGCACACACACGCGCGCGCGCGCAGATGAAGGAAAAGTGGCGTAAAGGATGCGAAAATGCCTCCGCTGCCTCAGTCACGCATGCAGCTGCAAAAATCTTATAAAGTCCGAGCATCAGCTGTAACGGCAGCCATAGCCAATGGTCAGTCTCAGCCTTCGTCTAGAGCACCATCCAGACGCTCAAATTAGTTTGACAAACTTTTAGTTTGCAGATCTTCAAACCTTTCGATTATCGCAAAGGCAATTATTATTTGTATTCACATATTATTTTTATTCCGGGTCCTTTACTTTGTATTGCTATTATCAGAGATAATACTCTTTCCAAAACATTAAAAGAGTTCGCAAGAGCTAAAATTTTTAGACCTATTAATACTATTAGTACTCTGAACGGAATTATACTTGTAGATCGGATTGCTTTGATGTGCGCTTTTTGGCTTTAAAGCTGTCCATATTTTCCAAAAATTTTACATACTCTGCAAGTTCTGAATGGCTGCTGATTAGAAGGACATTTAGAATTTTATCGAGTAGGTTTGAACGGCTCCCAAAGGCTTCATTTCTCATCTCCAACCGTCAGTCTTCTCTGGGTTGTTGGATCTGTTTTGTTGTCGGTCTGGTCGGTCGGTTGTGCAGCAGCAGCTGCTCTGCTGTCTCTGTGAAGAGGAAACCCAACGGCCGGGAAGTGCTGCCTGGCACAACATGTTGCTTTCTTCTCCCTTCCCCCATCCGTCTTTCACCGTCTCCCCTCGTATCCCTCGTCCCCTCAGAGCTTGTTGCTATTGCCTGCGTTTCAAGCTGATGCTGGCTGTTGTTGGCTTGTTGTTGTTGTCGTTTCTGTATCGATTGGTTGGTTGGCCGGCCAGTCAGGCAGGCAGGCAGCCAGCCAGCCAGCCAGCCAGAGATTTATGTGTGATAAGCGTCGCCTGAAAATAATTACTGTATCTGCCAGTTGGGACAAACGGCAACTGAAAGCTGGAAGCTGGCAACTGGCAGCGGCGAAAATTGAAAATTGGAGCGGAAAGCGTTGAGCGATGTTGAGCGTTCTCGAATAGTACAAGTAGTGAGTGGTTCGAGCGGAAATGTTTTTGTTTGCTATTTTTCGTTAATAGCTGATGCGCACACTGATTGTGCTACGGGTCTGAAAACCAACAAAGATGGGACGCATTGCAGAGGCAACTCTTTCTAATCATAATTTGTAGGAACACCCTATCTCCCTCTCTTTTTGTCTACGATTCTCCATTGTCTCGCTCTCGTGTAAATGAGAGTGTGAGCTGCGAAAAGTATTCTCAGATGCACGTTGACTACTCGCTTCTGTAAATTTCTCAAATTAAGATAAAGAAACAAGAAGAACAGCAACCGAGCGCGTACATATAATCGCTTTTAATTACCAAAAGGAGACGCCATCCCGCAATAGTAAATTGAAAATTAAAATCAGGCAATGATGACGATGATGACGGTCATGATAATGGAGACTGTGAAGGTAATAAAAAGGCAAGAATTCGGGTGACGTGATAGCCAAAAGAAGTAGTTCAAGTCATATGTACAAGTATGTACAAGTATGTATGCACTTGTATCTATGTATGTAAGCAACTCAACTTTAATTTGGAATCATTTCCAGGCGCTGCTAGAACGGAAGCACCTCGTAATCTTTTGCACCGTATGCTTTTCAGTGTTTCGCTTGTTGTTTTGTTTTTTTCTTTTCGTTTTATGGATTTTCGCTTTTTCTATATAATTTTGTATAATTTTTATATGTGGTGAGTATGTGTGTGTATGTACATATGTATGTGTGTGCCGCGGCGCCAATTTCCGTATAAATGCAATAAAAACAAATACCAGGCAACAAAGTACAAGAAAACAAAATTAGTTGAAAGCAATAGACGAAAAGTGGCGGAAGCAACTGAAGAAACCAAGAAAAAAATACAAATGCGTGAGAAAATTTGAACAGAAGCCACACCTGTGAGGCAATCACACAGTCGTTGGACGGCTCTCGTGCGAGTACTGGAGTAGTGGAGTAGTGGAGATGGAAATTGGGATTGGAAGTACGTGAATGGGGGGCGGGGGGAGGTAATGAGTGTCTTTGTCGGCCCAAAAACTGCACTTCTTGTTAATACAAGTTGAGTTTAGTGTGGCTTTTCAGATTCTATTCAGGTTGGCCGCAGACACTCTTCAGGTGGCTGGAACTCTTGAAGCCAAAGCAAAATTATGCGGTGCTAGATTAATAACACTTTAATTTGTGTGGTTTGGTGCCAGGCATGACAATGCCCAGATGCCAGAACAGTTTGTGTACAAAGGAACATTCCTATTATATGTATCCGGTCTCGATAGATCATGATCGATGAAACGAATTAAACGATCAAAACTACTTGTGACCTTTACACAACACTATCGCTTAGGTAACAAATGGAATCCCTGTTTGTGGAATGCATCCGTTTGTGACTGAACTTAGTATCCGCAGGATACTTTTAACTCATATTTATATCCGCGCATGTTGAGAATTCCTTGTGCAAACAATGGCAAGGATAAACACTACTCAGAATGGGGTGAAGTAGAGCAACTATAATAAAATTTCGATGTGTAATAAGCTGTTTTTATGCTACGGAGCTGACAAATATCGTGCTGCACGTTCGCTGTATTACTCGCATATAAATAATGCAAGGAAAAATGCAATCAAGTGTGCTGAGGCGCCTCGGAATGCTGCTGCTCGCTAAGAGCCACCTGCAACCTTTGGCTGCCACGATTTTCTTGTCAACCCTTATGTACGGGTATGCGCCATTTCATATTTTTAATTATCATTTTTTTTGCTTCTCATCGCTTCATATCCTTTTTTGCTGCTGGTGCTGCCATTATTGCTGTCGTTTGGTTCTTAAATTGTTGTGTTTTCAGGAATTCTGCCGCATTTTTGCACATTTCTTGTTATACGCGCACGCTTTCGCCGAATATTTTCCTTCCGCTTGTTTTTTGTCGTTCCTTTTAAACGCGATCGTATGCTTCTCTGCTGAGGCTTTAAAGCCTGCGGGATTTGCCGAGGACCCTCGGAGCCCTCACGGCTAATTTGAATGTAATTCAGGCGATGAATCTATCTTGACGACTGACACTTCACTTACAAGCGCGTTGAAAGCATTAAAAATGCTTGTACAAGAGACAAACAGAGAATAAATAAACATGTACGCGGAAGAACGCAGTAAAAACAAAATAAATAACAAGACTCTGAGGTAATTATTGAGCATGTGTACAAGAATATGAATAATAAAAAAATAGCCACTACTTTTTGGTAATTTGTGTGTTTTCATACAAAACACAACCAAAACGACAACTCCCAAGGTGGTATTGCCAATCCAAATCACCATATTGCTTATACATGAAAAGGACAGAAGTCATAGAGGCGAGCTTGAGCTTGAATATAAGCAGGTAGAAATTCAAAAGTATACCGAAGATACAAAATGTCTACAATAGATTGAGGGCTCAAGGGGCATAAACGCGAGTTGTGCTTGGATGGCACTAAATGTCAGGAAGAGGTTTTATGCCATGACTGTAATATATTCAACGGATTGATTGATGCTTTGATTTTGACTTTTTTCATTATACAATTATTTTCCCCAATCTTTACAGCCATACAAAATGACAAAGGGAAGAAAACGCGATCATGGAAAACTACAAAAGAGGAAACCAACAGTTCGAAGATGGCCGTGCCTTTTATGGAGTGTTCTGTCACTCCTCATTGTTGCTATTGACGTCGCCCCTACTATCGGCTCACCGCTGGCGGCGGGTCATAGCTCCTCCACTCACGCACTGCCATATACCAGTTACCAGAATCAGCGCTTCGCTATGGAGCCACAAGATCAGACAGCCGTTGTCGGAGCACGGGTAACCCTGCCCTGTCGTGTCATCAACAAACAAGGCACGCTGCAGTGGACAAAGGACGATTTTGGATTGGGCACATCGCGCGACCTGAGCGGCTTTGAGCGCTACGCTATGGTAGGCAGCGATGAGGAGGGAGATTACTCGTTGGACATCTATCCGGTGATGCTGGACGACGATGCGCGCTACCAGTGCCAAGTGAGCCCCGGGCCCGAGGGCCAACCCGCCATACGCTCCACATTCGCCGAGCTGACCGTTCTGGTGCCACCAGAAGCCCCGAAAATAACCCAGGGAACTATTATATATGCCACCGAGGATCGCAAAGTGGAGATTGAGTGCGTATCTGTGGGTGGCAAGCCCGCGGCCGAGGTAAGTGCTTGAGGGGTCCGAGTGCATACGATTAAGCATATTCTTAATTAAAACAAACCAAATAGTTGAACATTGCTTATACTATAAATACCTAATGAATCGATAAAGTAAAATGTAAATGTTTTTGCAAAATTTGACACACAAATATTTTAATTTAAATTTAGTTTTTTTGTGAAGATATTGAGTTTAAAACATTTAAACACTTTTTTCAAAAGGTGCAATTTGTAGTATTTATGATGGTTTTTGATTTTCATATCAATGTTGAAAAAAATGTTTTGAACTATCTCAATACTTTCATTAAACCTGTAATCGATCGATAAAAGAGCTTATCAGAGAATTTATGAATCGTACTGCACGTACTTTTGGAATGAAAACACACAATTTCGAAAAGCAATGCTGTTCATTTGGTTTGTAAAAGTATCCAGCTGTGTAGTGGGAAGGGCTGGCGGGAGGGCAAATGGATTGGCGGATGGATGGATTGCAGTCAAACCGCAGCACGTTGAAAGCATGCATTCAACACGCACACACACATACACACTTTCTGACACACACACACTGACATACACTGACACACACTTATAGACTTGGACACAGATACAGCCGAAACTAATCAAACAATGGTTACGCGCACCTGTCAGTCAAGAGAGCTGACCAAATGACCGCCCCAAATGCATCACTGCATCCAGATCCACATCCTCCCCTGCCTCATCCGGCCCATCCGCCCCATCTGCCTGAACGTCGGCGCTGTCCACTCTGATGGTGCTTTGTGTGCTTTCAAGCTGCGCATATTTGGCGCATTTGTTGGCCACATGCATACGCTTACTGACAACCACTGACCCTTTGTTCTCACTATCTGTTTCTCTCTTCCGCACACGCACACACGCACACACACACACATACACACACACACAGATTACATGGATTGATGGCCTCGGCAATGTTCTAACGGATAACATTGAGTATACGGTGATACCGTTACCCGATCAGCGACGGTACACGGCGAAATCGCTGCTACGACTCACGCCCAAAAAGGAGCACCACAACACGATTTTCACATGCCAGGCGCAGAATACGGCGGACCGCACCTATCGCTCTGCCAAAATACGTGTCGAGGTAGGCGTTTCTCCCCTATCTACTGTCTTCAATACTCTCGTATACCTTCCTAACCATCCCATTGAACACTCAGTCCCATTCAGCCCAACTCAGCCGCATTGTTGCTGTCCGTTTCAGTTCTGCTCCACATCGTCCATCCATTACACTTTTGCGCACAAATTGCCAAGTTTGCAGACCACGATGCGAGGCAATTGCCGCTGCCAATGCTTGTCAGGCCATTGAAACACGTTTCACGTCCTGCTCCGGCTCTGGCTCTGGCTCCGGCTCCTGTTCCTGCTCTTTCCTCCTCCTCTGCTGCAAAAGGGGCCGCAGGAGCAGTAAGAGGAGGAGGAGGAAGGAGGGAGCAGCTGCAGCAGCGGCAGCCTTATCATGATGCGCTGACGCGTCGTAGTCAACATTGAGCCTACTATCAATTTTACGTGATGCGCTGGCCGGAAGCATATTTATGCATCCTTTAAAGGGCTTTGAGCGTGGGCTGAACAGAGCATACATATATACATACACACGTTTCTACGTAGCTAGTGGTCAGTTGGTTTTTTGAATGGGCTTAGCCATGAAAATGAGACAGCCAAGGGACTTGCCATCACAAAAAATGACATAGTCTCTATAGTATGCATCTATGAGCTTGGAGCTTCGTTGTCGCAACAAAGTTTTTCAATTTGAAGAGGTGATGGGGGCTAGAGGCATCTGATATGCGCGAACACCTTAACTTTCTTGGCTTGAATTAGTCAAATCGCCACCTACTATATTACTAAGTATGTATATGTATGCCAATGGGCTTTGCTATTCAAGTTGTAAGCCATTGCGTGCTTGGGTCCAAATCAGTGGTTTTAAATGTCCAGTTCCATAAAATATGACTCTGTTTGGGAAGGGAGCATCAAGAACTATAATTGCCACTCAGTACATCCTGGCCTCAGATTCGAGCTGTCGCTGTTTCTTGAACTACTTACCCTTACCCTCACCTCGATCCCGAAAAGGCCTCATAAATAGTGTAATCGAAAATTATCTAAACAATATTTGCAGGTGAAGTACGCGCCGAAGGTAAAGGTGAATGTCATCGGCATCGGTGGCGGCAGCGGTATCGTCGGAATCAGCGCAGGAGCTATGGCCATGTCCAATGGCATTCATCGGATCGTGGAACATGCGCAGGTGCGACTCGAATGCCGTGCGGATGCCAATCCAAGCGATGTTCGCTACCGCTGGTACATCAACGAGGAGCCAATTATAGGCGGTCAAAAAACTGAAATGGTAAGGGTCCTCCCCACTACCCCACCTCCCTTCTAACTGCAAGCCTGCAAACTCCTCAGTCCCAGCCCACAGAGCTGGCTCAGCCTGCTGTGCATTCCTACAGATAGACGCATAATTAGAGCAGCCTGAGCGATAAAAGAAAAAATAAAATTGTTGTATATTGCCGGGCATTTTATCATAGCAATTACAACAAAGAACCAGTTTATTGCTGAACATACTGACTGATGCTGATGTTCACACACACGCATGTAACTTGCTAAGCCGTCTCCCAACTAACTCTTTCTCTTCCCCCCCTCTCTCTTCCAACAACAACAGGTCATACGCAATGTGACGCGCAACTTCAATGACGCCATTGTCAAGTGTGAGGTACAAAATTCGGTGGGAAAGAGCGAGGACAGCGAAACACTGGACATAAGCTGTAAGTCAAAACAACTGACAAGTCCATCCCCAATCATAATAGTTGTGGAGTCGTCTGATCTCCTACGTATACAAGTATGACCAGATCCACGGCCTAACTCTTCTTAACTGTAGTGGTATTTTAGAAATATTCCCTGGTAGTCCATGTTCAGCCACATTTTGGTGGACAATTGAATATTGAAAAGTTCGTTGTTATGCCTAATACTTGTACAACACTTTCATGCACTTCTATATTATTAGTTTCGAAATTGCGTTCTTTATTGTTGTTAGATACAATTTTATATTCCTACGCATATTTTTATATCCCAAAAAAAAAGGGTATAATAGTTTTGTGCGAGTGTACATACATACAAGTATAACACTCAGAGGGATATGCACGCAAAGTATATACAAGTACAAGTATATTCTTGATCAGATTGACAAGACGAGTCGATTAAGAACTGTCCGTCTCTCCGTGTTAATGCAAGGATCTCAGAAAATATAAGAGCTAGAGTAACGAAACGTGGTATCCAGATTCTCCTAAGTCCGAAAAATATTCGAAAATATTTACGACATTTTTTTTTCTGTTTTGTAGGGAGATGTTTCAGATACCAAAATACTCCTCAAATTACGCCTACTATATAATTCTAGTCCATCAAAATACTGATGAGTCGTTTAGTAGATCTCGAATCATGCACCCTTGACAATCTCGAACCATCTCATTACAGATGCGCCCAGCTTTAAACAGCGACCGCAATCCATCGAGGCAGACATTGGTAGCGTTGTCTCGCTGTACTGCGAAGTGGACAGCAACCCACAACCGGACATTGTTTGGATTCAACATCCCAGCGACCGCGTTGTAGGCACAAGTTCCAATCTCACATTCAGCGTCAGCAACGAGACAGCGGGCCGTTACTATTGCAAGGCTAATGTGCCCGGCTATGCGGAAATTGCCGCTGATGCGTATGTGTACCTCAAGGGATCGCCCAGCATCGGATCAGCACGCTATCAATACGGACTGGTGGGGGACACGGCTCGGATCGAGTGCTTTGCCAGCAGTGTGCCACGCGCTCGCCACGTCTCCTGGACGTTCAATGGACATGAAATCAGCTCGGAGTCGGGACACGACTATTCGATATTGGTGGACGCTGTGCCAGGAGGTGTGAAGTCGACGCTCATCATACGCGATAGCCAGGCCTACCACTACGGCAAATACAACTGCACAGTCGTCAACGACTATGGCAACGATGTGGCCGAGATACAGCTGCAGGCGCAAAGTAAGTATATAACTGGCCTAGGACATTTCTTTATAAACATGCGTTTTTTGCCACAATGATCCAATTACAAGTTTGCAAACTCATTTACTCACTCCGCCTTGCACTCGTATACGTGATTGCACTTCAAATCAATTATCAATATTGAATTGTTTGGGGCAATAAAGCATATGGCTTCTCATTGAATTTTTCATTTTACGAATGGAACAAACTGTGTTTATCGCCGACTTAAAATCCAAACGGTGCAATAAAAATTTGGCACATGCAGTAACTTATAATACTTGTATATGCTGCATACAAATACATGGACTTTCCCTATACACTAACACGCTCTGACCCGCACCATATTTCTTTTTTTTTCCTGCCCCACAGAGAGTGTGCCCCTCCTAATGACCATTGTGGGTGGCATTTCGGCTGTTACTATACTGATCGTCCTCACCTTGCTCATTATCGTGTACTTCAAGTGTAAGAAACGCACAAAACTGCCCCCTGCCGATGTCATAAGCGAGCACCAGATCACCAAAAATGGTGGAGTCTCCTGTAAAATGGAACCAGGCGATCGTACATCGAACTATAGCGATCTCAAGGTCGACATATCGGGAGGATACGTGCCCTATGGTGATTACAGCACCCATTACAGTCCTCCACCGCAATATTTGACTACTTGCTCGACCAAATCGAATGGAAGCTCCACCATACTGCAGAACAATCATCAAAACCATTTGCAGTTGCAACAGCAGCAGCAGCAACAACAGCAGCTGCAGCCGCCGCCGCCAGTCCAAAGTGTGCCCATGACATTTCTAACAAACAGCGGCGGCGGCAGCCTTACGGGCAGCATCATTGGCTCACGGGAAATACGCCAGGATAATGGTCTTCCTAGTCTGCAGTCGACAACAGCTTCTGTGGTTAGCTCCTCACCCAATGGCAGCTGCAGCAATCAGAGCACAGCAACCACCACGCATGTGGTGGTGCCCAGTTCCATGGCAATGAGTGTGGATCCACGCTACAGCGCCATTTATGGCAACCCCTATTTGCGGACGTCCAACTCATCGCTGTTGCCGCCACCAACGGCGGTCTAAATTTGTCCAGTCTGAGCTTATATCGGGACAGTCAACACAACAACCACAGCAACCACATCACAAGACTGATCTCAATAAACGGCAAGTGACCGAAGTCCCACAGATGTGCTCAGTTGGTGAGTAGGGCCAACAAGGAAAGCAAATTAACAAAATAAAAATAAAAATGATAATGAAAAGGAAATCAACAACAACTGGAGCCCATCCAATGTTCAGTAACCAAAAATTCGAATTGTGTAACATAAAGATATATCTTAGAAGGTAAGCAACGAATTGAGAGGCAATGTCTCCCGACACACGCATACATACTTAGCAAGTTAGAGCCACATACTAGTATGTCCAATACTAGTGATGTATTTATGCATTAACTACTAAGTAATATAATTGTTTGTTTTTCGAATAGTCAAAATTCAAGAGACAGTCTCTCAACTTAGCCTTAGCAAGTGAGTTACTTACAAGAATACATGTACGGATAACAATTTTTTTTACTAGCCCTAGCTTAGACTAATAAGAAATTCCTTACACTAGGCTGAAATAATGCGCATTTAAACAAAAAGGACAAAAGCAAAAAAAAAAAGAAAAAACAAGATTTACCTTGCTTCGTAATAAGAAACGCCTTACAAAAATTATTTATTTCAAAAATATTAGCTGTTAGAGGAAAGGAGGAGGAAAGGAGAAATATAAATTTCAAAATTGTCTTTTTTGCATTATTTGTTGCACGGAATTAATTACAAATTAAAACTTAAATGTGGCTAAACATACGAGTATGAGTCGTTCTCTGTGCAATGGTTTTTTGCCATTGCTTGCTGGCGCTCAAAAGTAGGCAATAGTTTTCAACAGATAAGTAATGCAAGCAAATAAGATTCAGAACAGAACAAAAGACATACTTAAATGAGAATATTAACGAAAATTAAATACGCTACAAAAACGAATTCATTTATATAAACTTATATATGCAGCGTTTGCTTTAATGTTTAATGTTGAGAGCATTTTATATACACACATCCAAACATGCATATGACACACACACACACACACACACACATACATCTAGAAGTACATTTATGAAGAGTTGTAGTTGTTTAAGAAAATATGCCAAAGTACCTGATAGTATTTAAGTTGTCTTCTCCTGCTTTCATCGTGTGTGTAGCCCTCAGCTATTTATGATTGGGGCTGAAGAATGAAGAATGTTTATGTAGCATTTAAGTCAATGATATATTATCAAAATGCGGTTGCAGTGCTGCACGCATACAAGTATACTCGTAGCATGTGTGTGTGCATTAATACACTTGCAAGCCAGGAAACCAGCAAACAAACAACCGAACGAACAAACTATTTACTAGAAAATCCACTTCTGCCAGCTCAACAGACCCTTTTTCTTGTGGTCACCCACATACACACAAACACATAAACACACGCGCTCGCGTTCCATTGCAGAACAAAGCTTGCCTAGAAGAAGAATGCTTTAGCTCTTCACTTTTCACCAAATCTCAGCTCAGCATGCACTCGATTTTTTGACTACAATCATTTATAAATACCATATAATTTACGTTAAGTTTCGCTAAGTGTATCTATAAGGTATTTAATAGCGTAATGGCTAAGTATGCATGTATGTACATTCTCTAGCTATGATATGCCATTTTTTTTGTTCGTTAATTTTTTATAGTGTTATATTTTGATATACTATGTATGTATTATCGTGTAGATTCAGTATGATTATTATATAAATAACATCTTGAAACCACATCAGAGTTTATATCTTTCGAAATCCAAAATTTCTTTATGCTTGAGCCGATTTAATACCGAACAGAACAAACGAAATACATTTAGCAAACGAGTTGAATAAATGGCTACTTTTTTAGCTGTCGATATTTTTAAAATAATTAAGACAATGAAGAAATGTTTTATATATACAAAAAGAATTATATTATTATAGAAATAAAATCTAAAATAATTTTATTGAACACCGAAATTGTTGCGCTTTTTTGCAGAATGAATGTTGCAGAGTTTCCTACCTAGGCTCCGAGACTTACATCGATGTACTGCTTACGTAAATCGAGAGAGTTCCTAACGTCATTCAAGAAACTAGCCAATAACTTTTCCATCAATCAAGTCCCAGAGATCCATACTTTTGAGACCATATACTTGGAACATCAATCAACATTTTGAGCCTATTTCCACAATCAACATTTTGAAACCTCAATCAGCACAAACTCTGTGTATAACGTCAATAAGCTCACATTGCTCATCTCATCTGAAGAATATGGAGAGACGTTTCCTTCTTTCCTTTATACCCTTTAACCCTTTATTCTGCACAAACCTAATATATCCTTTCAACCGTCAGGGTATAAAAGGTGCGCCCGCCATATGTCAACGAAGTCAATTCGAATGCGCTCCCTCTCGTCCTCATTCCTTCCTTCCACGTTTCCCCCACACTGCACTCCCCGCTCTCTCTCTCTCTCTCTCTCCCCAACGCGACAGTATTCCCCATGTGTGCCAGAATGAAATACACACATTCAGCCTGAAAGTGCTTAATGAGTACGTAAGGGTCACGCATGAAGCAACGCAAGTCCCTCAACCTGAACCGCGACCTCGCTCCGGCCCCGATTCCATCTCACCCACTCATGGCCGAGTGTCGGGTGGGGTGTGGAGTTTTTGCTGTTGCCTGCCGCACGGGTCACATGAAATTTTGTGGATGTGGCAACAAAGTCGCGCATGGCACGACATCAAACTAAATTAAGTGCCTTTGTTACAAACGGTCCCCGGCTTCAATTGTCTTTGCGCCGCCACACACACACACATGCATACAAATGTTTGTATGTGCACACAAGTCCCGTGTGAACACGTAAGTTTTAACTGATGTTTTTATGAATGTGGCTTTTGGAAGGCTGTACATACATACTCGTAATCGGGGAAAGCCTGGTTTGATTTTTGTATAGAACACCACTACAATGTCTGCCTGATTGGGGCAAAAACGAGTTAGTTGCGCAAGCAGCCCCCAAAAAATATAGATACAAAGTGCAGTTGACGCGTCTCCTGCTCCGGTAGCTTAGCTTTTAGATAGGACTCTTCTATAATTTCGATTTTTTTAAAGTTTCCTGATAACTGTCCAGTTCTAGTAGACCATAAACTGTTCACTGAGATAAGAAGAAGAGTGGAAAGTGTTTTTGGGATAGAATCGTAAAATACTGAACTAAACAATTCTAATTGAGCGTTGGCGAATATGTTAGAGAATGTTAGAGCTCCTATCCCACCTCAATGAATTGCAAAGAATATTTAAGATTGTTGTACTCGACCTAAAGCTTTATAGCCAGCACTGTTGTATTATATTTATTGAATCATACATATTGTAGTATGAGGTTCTCATAACCCGTTTGGGAACGAATTGAACCTTTAATCAGGAGTCAGGAATCTTTAGAAGATACACATTTCCCTCAACGTTTTTGAAATGTCTACCATTAGTATATCGCCAAATCGGCTGATGTCATGTCTATATCATGTATCTATCATAGGAACTATAGCTGGATTTGTTGAATAAACTGCAATAAATTCATTATTTGTGGAGATATCTGAATCAGGTTCTTATAAGAAATGCAGAAGATAACTTGGACTGTCATATCGGATATCTCAGAGCAGTCATCGAAAATAACATCGTAAGATAAACTGATTGTTTATAAAGGCAACTTGTATTAGTATGTATATATGCAGCTCAACTGGGAACCATAGAAAGTAAATTTTAAAGAGAATTTCTGTCAGTTTCGGCATCCTGAAGTTAACGTACGTACTTGGTTTTGTTATTGTTGAGCTCCTAGCACGTTCATCGCGCAGGCTATCTTTTTATGAACAATTTGGCGGCTCGAGCGTTTCGCACGCACACATCCAAACACACACCCAAACTCATAAAAAACGGACACGAAGAGTTACGATTTCATTAACATGAGATATGGCGAGTGGTGCCGGTCTGGCTAGAAGCCGTTCAAGGGCTGGAGCTGCTGGTGGGGGGGTTACTGGAAAAGCGTTGGGGTTTTTTTTTGTTTTGCTTATGGCTCAAGTTGCTGCCTGCCTGAAATTTGTGGATGGGTGGACTGGTGCTTGTTTGGGGAAGGAGCATGAAGGGGGGGTCGCAGTATGTTGCGTTGTTAATTGATAAGGAAGAAAAGGCCGAGGTCGAATCTGGTGGTAATACAGAGGGAGAGAGGGACAGAGAGGTGAGGTTTGGCGGGTGGGGTGCTGCGTTGTTGGCCATATGATTAGCAAATGCTTTGTTTTTCGCTTTGCGCCAGAAAGTAAATGTGCGAGAATACATCCATATACGCACATATGACGACAGCCCGAAAAGGCTTTGCAGTCGAAGTGTGTGGTGTAAGGCTTTGTGGTGTAAGAACTGTGGTTGCAAGTGTGAATGGTGACGGATGCAGGTCCAGGGGCTATTTACTTCTAATATGCTATATAGCTGTTATTGTGTGTATGTGCGTATTCAATTATAAAAATATTTCATTTATTTGCACGAAGTAAATACTATAATCTGCACTGATAGTACAAGGTGCCACACGATTTGTGGTCAGACATGCAAACAATTTGCACACAAGTATACATATGTCATTGCACAAGTACGCTGTGAAAATTAATTTCACACCGGAAGTAACAGTAATAATAAGAATGTCACTCGGCAGAAGCTTTCTTCAGATCGCCGAGTAACGGGCCTGCGCTGTAACACCTTATCACATTCTGATTCTTATTTGAATCAATTGAAAAGTTGCCCAAGCTCGACTACAGATGGCGCATTATACAAAGAAAAGATTTAGGAACAGATCAACATTTAACACAAATGTAATTAAATAACAAGAAATTCAATTCGGTTACAAAAAAAAAAAAAAAATAAATGCAAATTTCCCAGCATGAAGCCTTATGCAAATCAGGAATATGTTCGCGATCATTTCAGACCGCCAGTCACTTCGATGGCTGCTCCATTCACGTAGGCCGACTTTTCGGAGGCGAGGAACGCAATCACCTCGGCTATTTCCTCGGGTTGGCCGAGACGACCGAGGGGACAACGCTGCACCACCTGCTGCTTGATCTTGTCGGGCACAACAGCGACCATGGGCGTGTCTATATACCCGGGCAAAATGCAATTGACACGTATGCCAAACTTTCCAAACTCCTTAGAAGCCACCTCTGTGAAAGAGATAACGCCCGCCTTGGTCGCCGCATAATTGGCCTGCCCCACATTGTTCATTCGCGCCACAATGCTGGACAGATTGATGATGCTACCTCTGGGCTGCTGTTGCTCGATCATTGCCTTGGCGAAGTGTTGCGTCACCAGAAAAGTGCCCTTCAGATTCACGCTGTACACATCGTCGTAGTCGCGCTCAGGCATCTTCAGAAGGTAGCCATCGCGAGTGATGCCCGCCGAGTTGACAACAATGCTGGGCGCCTGTTGGAACTTGGCAATGGCATCTCCAACAGCGCTCTGCACACTCTGGGCCGACGAGACATCCACTTCTAGGGCGGCAGCACGATCATTGCCTAGCTCGTTGGCCGTCTCTTTGGCTGCCTGAAGATTCCGATCGGCGGCTATAACTTTGGCGCCGTCACGTGCAAGCAAGCGGCATGTGGCCCGCCCAATTCCAGAGCCCGCGCCTGCCATTTCAATTGATAGTTGTCTGTATGTCAATGCGGGTTCAAAGTGCAGAGTATTATTTGTTTACTTACCTGTTACAAACGCAACCCTGCCCGCTAATATGCCGCTCGCCATGCTTGTCTGTCTGCCACCCGGAGAGCTTTCAAGTGAACTGACAACACGCCACTTGCCAGTTATCAGAGCCAATTGCTCAGCTGATTTAGGTCTGTCTGGTAGAGCCCAACACTCATTTGGCGTTTTCCAGCACGATCAGCTGATCGAAAGCTGCTTTGTGGTCAAAGCTTTTCAAAAGCTCACGCCCAAGACATGCAGGCTCAAGTAGGAAAAGCATCGTCGTTGTTTTTCTCAAATTTATGAAGCTCGATATGCCCTCTCGATCGCTTTCAAAATTTGTTTTTTATAACTTCTGAAGAATATAAAATTAAACTGCATACTCGGTTTCTTAAAAATCGTCTTAGGGCTGCATTATAAGGGGTTTAAAAATATAAGGGGTTTAAAAATATTTCACTTATTTTTCAAATGAAATATTTGTGTTATAAATCTCGTTCGATCGATCGATTTAAAGGGTTAGGATTCGTATGTATCCCATCAAAATAATAAGATCTACATCTTGGCATTCAGAAAATGGGTTTTATAATTTCTGAAAGATTCCAGAATCAAAACTGCATACTCGATTTATGCTTGAGTCAATTCTTAAATACACTTTCATAGTGTAGGTGAGCACTAAGGGGCGGTTTTAGAAAATTGGAACTGCAATTAAATTCAGTTGAGATCCGATGTCGATAAGTCGAATAGCTACATATGTTCTTCCCTGACATATGTAGTAGGTCTGGAAGATACATTAAATTTGGTCTCACGAGTACAGCCAGTGGGCGTCATTACTCAGAAGCGGGACGAGTCAAGGGGGTCAGGCACGATTACTTCTTGAAAAGTTTGCTTTATTCAGTTTGCAAAAAATAGCGACATTAGGCTTAAATTATTTTAAATAAATAAAAAAAAAATTGGGCTTATGCTAGCTGCACCGACAGCTCAGCACAGCCTTTCGTGTCCGTCCCGGTTCGTGTTGTGGGCCAACTGATCGCTTAGACTCCCGTAATGCGCGTGCGCTTGCCTTTGTTCTTCTTGTTCTTATTTCCACCGCGCCTGCGATTGTTTTGGACGCGCTTCCTTATCACGCGCTTCCTGTAAGGCCGGCTGTTGGTGTTCAGCATAACCCTCTGGCCGTTCTTGAAGTAGCGACGGTAGCGGGGGGGAATGCGCACACTGATCACCTGGCCGCGACGGTTGCCCTTGCGGCGCAAATTGATGCGTGAGGGCTGGGTGGCCTTGCTCTCGGTGCTACCGGTGCCATGCACCTCCTTGTCGGTGATCACTTCGTACTCCTGAGCGCCAGCCGCAAGCGCCGCCTGCAGCGTCTGTTCATCGACCAGCTCTGCAGCGCCAGCTGCACCTTCACTCTCCTCCTCGCCATTATCCTGCTCGTCGTCCTGCTCGGCGCCATATTCACGTCCCGATGTTGCTGTTGTGGTGGGTGAGGTTGTGATCGTACCAGTCGCCGAAGGTATGGTGCCTGTCGATGTGATAGTGGCCGTCGGACTTGCTGTGCCAGTGCCTGTGCCAGCGCCCGTGATAATGATGGGTATGACGGGCTGCTGGCTCTGCCCGAACATATTTTTAAACAACAGGAACTTTTTGAGGAAGAGGCGTCCACTGGAGGCGTCTTTGTTGCCAGTGCTGCTAGCGGAAGCTACGCCAGCTTTCTCAGTGTCCGCACCTTCATCAACAGCAGCGGCATCGGCTAATTGCGGAGCCTCTTCGGACCGAAATTTGGCAAGGGTAGGCTCATTGAAGTAGGATGAACGACGACCTATTAGAAAGTGGGAAATCAAATAAGAAAAGCGTCTCTGGAAGGGCGCTGGCTCATCCTTACCTTTCAATTGTGCTGATTTCTCGGCATTCACGGCGCACAGCAGAAAGCCCAAAAGGACCAAGGCACTGAGTTGAAGCTTCATGTTGTTTGCAACGATTTGTTGGCAGCTAAGAAACTACTCAGCAGTGGAGAACTTTTCTCAGTTGGCCCAACGGTATCTGATCGAATCGGACCTGCTTCGGTGTGGTGTGGCTTGTTGTGCTCGCACCGATTGGAAATCAATGTTTGATAGATTATCGCCCAAAATGAAAGCCTTTTATACCCGCGCCGGCGATTGCTGATGGCAATGCAAATACCTTTTCCAGCAGGCAAACAAAGTACATATGTAGCTAGCAACGGTAAATGGTAGCGTCGTCATGTCGTTGAGGGTGCACGGGGTAAGAAAGAGGGCCAAAGGTACTCACAATCGTACTTCGCCGCTATGTACACAGAAATCAGCATCGACAGTGATGGCCATGCCTACAAGAACTTGCCACGCACTCGCATTCGCACTGGCACTGGCACTGGCACTGGCACCGGCACTCGCGCAGATATATTCAATTCACTACAATTCAATTCAATTGAATGGAATTCAATTTCTACGCCGACCTACCGGCTTAGCCAGTGGCTACTCGCGCTGGCTAGTTGGCCAACTGTTGGCGAAAAGGCCCCTTCGTCAGTTCGCTAGTGACCATTGGTATTTGCGTGAAAAACGCTTGCAGCTATTTGAACGAGCGCGCGCCCTCCCGAACCTTCTTCATCGTCATTATCGTCGTTATGCTTATCATCCAGCAGGCAGCCAGTGGGCTTTCTTTCTACACACATACTACTATGTACTATACTCGTAGGTATATACTTAGTAGGTACACCGCCGCAGTACATGAAACGCTCCAGGTAACAGAAGCTGCTCGTCATACCCGGCACCCGATATACAAGTACAAAAAGTGAAAATCCACTTTATGTGTAGTACAAGTATTCTACAGCGGTTGCTGCCGGACAGGCTATCCCACATTTCAGAATTCCCAATTAGAAATGCACGAATGGGCTCTTAACTATAACCGGCGGAAAGAGTTAATACCGTATATTTTCATCCAAAATCAACTGTAAAATTATATACAAGTATGTATATATATATTGTACTTTGAAAACGAACTAAGGCTGAGGATAAATATTACATCTACTTGTATTGCAATAAACACTAAAACCAAACACCGTACTATCTAACTTTTTAGTAACAAGTTGGTTTTTTTTTTGTAAAGTGTGCTTTGCATTCCCAATCCAAAGCGATTCAATGCCGTCTATATCGGAATATTCAAAATACGCGACTCAAGTCGGTTCCAATATCTTTCTAAACAGAAATCTTATTCACACAAAAATTATTTTCAATTCACATCGCATCTTTACAGAAAGGAAACCTACGCATCGGCTATCGAAAAAAAGCAAACATAAACATGTCCTTCCTGTGATGTTGATGTCTACAAGTATGTATTATTCAAGGCAGTAATTGTAGAAGCGGTACAAAAAATAATTCAAATATTCTAATATCAAATAAGTGGAATTATAGTTATACATTTAATATATAATTTGTAAATTGTTAATACTCGAAATTGTTATAAGATATTTACTTATTTATTTCAAATTTTATTTTATAGACCAAGGAAATTTTTGTAGCCGGTCCTCCAAGCCATGCTCTGATTCATAGGCGTGTGTGGTCAGAAGTTTCGGACATAACTCAAAAAAAGGAAGAGACAATGTTTGGTTATGGGCAAATGAAAATAGATGTACTCGTACAAAATGGGTTGGGGGTACTGTCATTCCACGACAATAATTTTTTGGAAAAAACCGCACAGGACAATCCTGCGATTAGCCGGCATAGTCAATTTTCTGACCAGAAGTCGGCTTGATAAGAATGACAAACGAAAGTTTAAGCCACGAGGGGCAAAACGAAGGAATTGATTAAATTGATTGAATTAATAAAATTAATTGTAATAATAATTTTAAAATTTATGTGTTTTCATAATAATGAAATGAGTTATGATAGTAATATTTATAATGATAATATTGACGGATGTCCTTTTTGAAGTTCCGACAGCTCGCCAAATGAGCAAAATAAGAATGGCAAACGATAGTTTAAGCCACGAAGAGCAACACGAAGCAATTCAATTTAATTTAATAATAAAAAATGTATAATAATAATAATAAAATGATGTCATTTTTATCTCTAATATGTTCTTTCCATGTATTTAATTTACATTAATAATAACAATAATAATTAATTTATTAAATTTGTGAAAAAAGACAATAAAAATGACTAAAAATGAATTTTTAATGTGTTCATTATTGCGGTTGGTGAGGGGGGTGAAGAGGATGGATTTAGGAAGGACTCATATAGCTGACGCATAAATACAAAAAAAATCAGTTTGACCGATGGCCAAAACACTTGTAATTGCTAAAAATCCAAAATCTGAAGTACCAGGCGAACAGAAACCAGCAGGAAGTTGATTTTTTTTTTAAATTTAAAATTAAATTGGGCTGCCTAAAAATATGCTACAATTTTTTTAAGTAAGTCGGGTTCCACACCATTTTGCAGTTGGGGCTCAAACCAATCTGTCAAATTGGGTTGAGGTCTGGCTGAAAAATGGTTTGAAGCCTGGCTTACATTTATTTTTAAATTTTTTAAGAAATCATCCTCCTGCTGGTTTCTGTTCGCCTAGTACGTAGCAAAGATGCCAGTTTGGAAACTGAAACCGAGGGCTGCTGCGGCTTTTGAAAAATTGATCAAATCGGCTACAAATGCTAAAATCCAAAATCTGAAGTACCAGGAGAACATAAATCAGCAGCAAGAGGAATTTTTTAAATAATTAAAAATTTAATTCTGCCCCTGTTTGATATGCTACACTTTTTTTGAACGCCAGCCGGTTCCAAACCGATTAATTATTAAATAAATAAATAGATAAATAAGTTGCAGCGGTACAACTAGATAAAAATGAATTTAAATAAAAAGGACACTTTTTAGACTTGCTGCTGATTTATGTTTGCCTGCAGTTAAAGGATTCAGATCCTACTTCCTGCAGCAAATAAATAGGAAAAATGAAAAAGGGTTGGTTCGTTACATTTTAAAAAATTTTTTATTTGAAATTTAAAAAAAAAACTGTATAAAATATTTGCCTTAAGGTAAGTGACAATTTTAAGAATAAGGGTAAGGTCCTTTTACAAAAATAATAGGAACGTCAATAAACATAACCAGGCAATTTTTGTTGCTTATAAACATATCATTTTGTGCTTACAAATATTTTGGCAAGAGTAATAATCAATTTCTTATTACTAAAAACGGATTTTATATAATTAAAGAATTAATGAATATATATCAACACATTTCACATTTGTTTGCAAATTAAAATAACAATTAAATTGGTATTTACATATTTTATAGTAAGAGTCATAATTAATTTCTTACTACCTAACACTTATTTTATATAATTAATTAATAAATCTATTTTTGGACATCATCCTAAGCCGGTGTATGTGGCTGATAAGCAAGGATAAGTACAGAAGTGGTTGTTTATGCAGAGATTGTGCTTGTCCCCTGGTAAGATGATAGACCTCGCAGAGGGCGCAGGTTTTCAAAAGTTCTTATCTCGTATCCTTCGGATTTGGGGCTCACTCTCTGTACCCCCGTCACACACGACACGAATGGCTGTTCGATCCCCACTGAAGATACAAAGGACATGCGCAGATGTCATGGAGGAATACCTGCAGGGCTTCGAATATTTTGGTGACGTCCCAATGTGTTTAGTACGGCGTATGAGGAGGAGGCTGCAGAGGGCACATCCGGTCGACTTTGCCAATAGATTTTTAAGTACTATAAGTATAAAAAGTTAATTAATTAGTTCCATAAGCTTAATTTTCAGTTTTTGTAAATAATAGCAGTACATTAAAATAATAAAAGACTTTCAAAAAATCCCAATTAATTTTTGGGTTGTCAAATTTGACTTTAATTATTCAAACGCCAATTGTAGGTAAACGGTATAATAAATTAGACAATTTTCAATGCAATTTCAAAGATGAAACATGGTGGATTGCAGAAATATATACATTCCGTAAATTATATATTTCCTCTTCAAAATATAACCCAAAGTTGATTGCCGTCCCAGGTGGACGATTTAAAATTTTGACCTGAGTATGTATCTTTGAATTGGGTATTTGTTGATCCCTAACGGAGTCATTATATTCATATATTTGAAAACAGTCTGCAGTTGACCCAGGCGCAGTAACAGCGGCAGTCGCGACAACCTCGTAACCCCGCTACTGACAATGTCAGTATTTGTCAATGTCAATTATTATGTATAGGTGTAGTATATATTTATATAGAAATGCAGAACAGCAACTAGGCTATAAGCAAATCAAAAAACGTGGCGACTTCTTTTGTAAAAAAAATGCAATTTTATTTAAATGCAGAGGTGCTTTCTGCACACCTGCCGATTCAGTTGTTAAATTTTTGTCAACGTTTCAAATTTTTCGATTCCATAAGTTCTTTGCAGTTCCTGTTCCTATATGAGCCAGCGAGTCTAGTTGCGTCGACCACCGCGACGTCTGCGACGCCTCATGATCCTGCGCACGCGGCGACGCTGCCTTCGCACTTTACGTTTGCTTTGACGCCTGTTCCTGCGGCGACTGCGCCTGGACTTGGAGCCGCGACGACGACGTCTACGGCCTTTGCGACCACGATTCCGGTTCCTGCGACGACTCAAGCGCCTTTTGCTGCGTCGCTGCAACTGACGGTAGCGCTTTTCACTATCCTGGCGAGCGCGAAGCTGCCGACGAATCAAGGCGCGCACGCGCTTGTTGTGCTCACGTTGGAGCTTCTGTATGCGTCGACGATTGCGCTGTTCGACCTGGAACTGTTGCCATTCCTTCTCTGTGGGTCGTCGCACCATGGAATTTGGAGCACCAAGCTGGGTGCCACCGATGTTAGCATTAGCGGGAAGCACAAAGTAGTCAACGTCCTCTTCATCGCCATCATTATCATATTCATCATCAATGTCATCTTCGTTGTTTTCTGCCTTTTCCAAATCGTGATCATCAAGGAACTCATCGTCTTGATTATCAAAGCCATCGTCGTTTTCATCGAAGTCTCGAGCATCAACCCCATCACCTAGCTCGTCATCGTCATCGTCTTCGTTGTCTGGAGCAGCGCGAGTTGATCCAGCTGGTGGTGATGGCGGTGGTGGCGGTGGTGGTGGTGGTGGCGGTGGTGGTGGTGGCGGCGGTGGTGGTGGTGGTGGTGGCGGTGGTGGTGGTGGCGGTGGTGGAGGTGCTACCGTCGTAGTAGTACCCTTCAGAGCATTCATAAGGTCCGTCAGCTGTTGGGCGCTGAGGCGACCCTGAGCAGGCAGTTCATCATCATTGGCGGCGTGATTGCGGAACAGTTGAAAATTCTGGCCGCGCTTAGCTTGTTGCTGTGGCTTAGCTGTGAGAGGAGAGAAGAGAGAGGAGAAGCCAAATAAGATAAAGAGGAGGAGAGGGAAAGACAGAGCTTGGGCTTACCGCTTGCTTGCAGGACCACAGCCGCCAGGCAGACCACAAGGAGCAGTCCTCTGAACGTATGCATGATCTATGCTTTAGATTATTTCGCTAGTTCTGGATCTGTTGGCTTTTGGCTTTTGGCTCTTGGTTATTGGCCGCTGCCAGACTGACTTACAACGTCGCCTCAGGGCATATTTATATGCCCAGAACGGCAATGCCCACCTTGCCGAAGAAAGCGGTCAAGCAGGGCGTGCGCTTAGCATAACGTGAAAAAAGTCCGCAGTTGACCCAGCCGCAGTGGCTGCGGCAGCCGCGACAACCTCGTAACCCCGCTACTGTAGTTGATAGAGATGCTGGTGACAAACACAGCGCTTGCTTCAAGGAAATTTGCATAGCAACGATTTCAGAACACATTAGCATTTTCATGGCGTCGCTAACTAAAGAGCTTTTGTTCTTTGCTGCCCCGAATCTTCTGAACGACAATGTCAATGAACCGTGAAAAGTTATAGATCAGAATACATGTTAAGACGATACAAAGCTCACGTCTCTGATTAATCAATTATATATAGATATAATGCATATATGCATATACCGGCGTATATAGAACAGCCACTAGGCTATAAACAAATCAAATAACTTGGCGACTTCTTTTGTAAAAAAAATGCAATTTTATTTAAATGCAGAGGTGCTTTCTGCACACCTGCCGATTCAGTTTTTAAATTTCCGTCATCGTTTCATAATTTTCTCGATTCCATTCGTTTTTCGCAGTTCTTGTTGTTCTTGTCATATGAGCCAGCCAGTCTAGATGCGTCGACCACCGCGACGTCTGCGACGCCTCATAATCCTTCGGATGCGGCGACGCTGCCTTCGCGTTTGACGTCTGCGTTGACGCCTGTTCCTGCGACGCCTGCGCTGGGACTTAGTGACACGACGACGACGACCACGAACCCTGCGACCGCGACTGCGGTTCCTGTGATTGCGACGACTCAAGCGCCTTTTGCTGCGTCGCTGCAACTGACGGTAGCGCTTTTCACCATCCTGGCGAGCGCGTAGCTGCCGACGAATCAAGGCGCGCACGCGCTTGTTGTGCTCGCGTTGGAGCTTCTGTAGGCGTCGGCGATTGCGCTGATCGACCTGGAACTGTTGCCATTCCTTTTCTGTGGGACGACGCACCATGGTGTTTGGCGCGCCAGGCTGCATGCCGCCATTGTTAGCATTAGCGGGGAGCACGAAGTAATCACCGTCCTCTTCCTCGCCATCATCATCATATTCATCATCATCGTCATCTTCGCTACTTGCTGCCTTTTCCAAGTCGTTATCGTCGAGGAACTCATCGTCGTGATTATCAAAGCCATCATCGTTTTCATCGAAGTCCCGCGCACCGACTTCGTCACCCAGCTCGTCGTCCTCATCGTCTACGTTGACATCATATCTGTTGTCTGGTGCAGCGCGTGTTGTTGGTGAGGTGGCGGGTGGAGAGGCCGGGGGGGGTGGTGGTGGTGGTGGAGGTGGTGGTGGTGGCGGTGGTGGAGGTGGTGGCGGTGGTGGTGGTGGCGGTGATGGTGCAATCGTGGTAGTTGTGGTGGTACCTTTACCAAACTTGTTCATGATGCTAGTGGTGAAGCGACCTTCGGCAGGCACATTCTCCCGACGACTTACGGAGCGTAAGGAGATGGGCGATGCAGATGCAGCGGAACGTTGGAATAACTTGTAGCTGTTGGCTAGAGTTGGGCATTAGCTTCACAATTTCTGAACCATTTCTTATTGCAGTCTGACTCTTACCAGTGACATGGCTAGGCGCCAATAGAGCGCACAGCGCCAAGGCCAGGCTCAGCTGAAGAAAGGCACGCATGACAAGTTGGTGAAACGAAAAAAAAAAAAAAATGATCGGAAGCGACTTTGGCGCTTAGTTAGTACGTCCAGACAGCGGCGGCACTCCTTGCAGGATTAGCCGTTGTTGGTCGATCGAGCGATTGGACAGATATCCAGTTGTAATCTTGGTTGACTCAAAGCCACTGACTGACTAAAATAGTTTGGGCCACCATATTATATACCCATCTATAGAACTCTGACCAAAATGATTCGTTTTGCAAACGTTGACTAATTGCTTTTCCCGAGCCAGCAATTAATCTCTCATTGCCGCAGGCAGGTCAAAGTGCCTCGAACTTAGAGCCGCGTCTACAAATTTGTTGCTAATTTATCAGCTGTCTTGTAAAGTCTTCCAGCGCCATCGAACGGTACCTAATTACGAAATGATTCTGGACTCCCCGCCGAAGCCCCTCCACCTATTCCCCACATTCTTACTATATAATTAATTACGCAACCAACTGTGAGCCGAAACTGGCCAAATTTGTTCTCGCGCAATGGGTCATAACCGCGCGCCCCATTACGGGTCAACTGTGAAAGGTTTACATAGCTGGACAGCCGAAATTGGCGAGTTAAGTGTTAGGTTTCATGGACAGCGTCAACCAGAAAACGAGTCCCTGTAGGCAACACATTTCGCCTCACATTCTTACTACTCGCAGATTTGTGTCAGTAATATCAGAACATAAATAGCACAAATAACTTTTGTAGTCTTGAGTAATGGGAGCAGTATCAAGTTCAATCAATAAAAAATTCAATCAGCATCTGTCTTTTAAGAAGCAGGATTTTTACCATAGAAGAAACACTTCCTCAGAACCAGATTTCTTGTAGAGAATCCTAAAACTGCCAATTATTAGGTATTTATAGTTTTAGAAATTAACCATTTTCTTTTTTGTTTTTATTCCCTGTACACCTTTTAGATACAAAACTATATCACTAACAAATGTGATCAGCATCTGCATTTTTATGATCAGGATTTTTACTATAGAAAAACCCCTTCCTTAAGACCAGACCTTTTTTAGAATGCCCCGTCTACCCTTTGTAATGCGTCTAACAGCAAGTGGAAGGCGTTGCAACATTGCTGATCAGTTAGAAGAGATGACCCTATATAGCCATGAGCAGTATGAAGAGGTGAGTCCATAAAGCCATGCCCGGGCGAACAGACATCTTTCTGAGCGCAATCTCAGAATAATCAAACTAATATTTGCAAAATTGGGTTTCTCTTTATTAACGCAGTCCCCAATTGCCCGTAACTTCGTTTAAAATCACATTCTGTTAGTGTCCAGCTATCTACGGGTAAAGTTTTATATTTATGGGAAAACTACTTATTTAGAAAGTTGCCTTACAGCCGGAAATGTAATATCTGAACACGCTCTGCCAGTAGCTGTTCTTGTTGCTCGTAAGAATGTGCATATGTCGGATGCCAGTACATGCAACTGAAAATGCTCTACACTTGTGGCTGTCTAAATTATAATTTATAAATTTTTATAATTTAAAAGAAAGTTTAAGCCATAATAAGATGGATGCAAGGTATTTAAGAATCGGTCGTGCGCCTCATTCTGGGCTTTCTCTCCGCAAAAGAAAATGCGCAAAAGCATACATTTTCAATTCTTCCATTTAATAATTATTTGATCTTCATAACTATATATATCTTATCTGATCTGATCTAATCTAATCTAAAATATCGCAAGGGTGAACCCAATTTTGTGTGGCTGATCTTTCATTATCATTAATTAATATTAGAGTACTTAACATACACACTAGTAATATATATAACATGAGCTCGTTAAGTCCTCCACTAGAGCGAAGACTCAACATCTTTAATAAGGAATGCTAAATAAATCGAAAGTAAAATGGTTGCATGGTTTTTTATACCGTGTACCCGTAGGGTAAAAAGGGTATATTAGGTTTGTGCAAAGTATGTAACATGCAGAAGGAAGCATCTCCGACCCCATAAAGTATATATATTGTGAATCAGCATGACGAGAGAAATCGATCTAGACATGTCCGTCCGTCTGTCCGTCTGGATGAACGCAAGGATCTCAGAAACTATAAAAGCTAGAATAACCAAAGTTGGCATCCAGATTCTCCTAGGTCCGAGTAAGGACGAGTTTATTTTATTTTTTGGAATTTTCCCCCCTTCTCCTAATTTCGTCAATACCGTCCACATTTCAAATGTTACATTAACCAAACTTTGCACACATAGTTCATACACAATAGTCTACTTTTGTTTCAAATTTCATCTAAATCGGTTAATTTTAATTATTAAATTTTAATTATTGGCGAAACAAATTCTCGCCAGTACAACCCCCCCAAACTGCATCAACAAGTTCGCTCTTCTTCGTCCTCTTTTTACTTCTGCTATGGGCGCATATAACTCAGGGACGGAAGTTTACCGGGGACAGGGTATTTCACTGTCGGGCTTGCTCGACTGTAGCGTTCTCTCTTGTTTTAATATTATTATTATAATAATTATATTGTTCAGAAAGGATCAACAGAACAAACGAATAACCAGCAGAAATAGTGAAATAAAATAAAATCATCAGAAGATGAGCAAGGCAGACAAATTTTTTGATATCACATTTTATTTTCGAATCGTAATCATTGCGAAATTGCATGTCCTGGTATCTTAACTATGTATAATACAATAAACTGAGAGCGAATGCGCATCGGCAGCTTAGCCCACAACAATGGGCCTTACTCCGCCGGTGCGGCGGCGTCTCCCATTGCCACGACGACGTGTGGGACGAATAACGCGAACGTTGCGGCGCTTGTTACCACGACGGCGACGCTTGCCACCGCCGGGGCGGCGTCTGATGCCTCCAGTGCGACGGCGACGTACTTTGCGCCGACCACCTGTGCGTCTGCGGCGCACGATCACCCGATTGGCTCGCTCTTCCTCCTCACCCTCGCCGACTGCACGTGCTGTGGCGCGCTCCATGAGCGCTACAACACTGCCATCAGGAATGGCGTCTAAAGCAGCGCGTGGCACCAGGAGCGCCGACTTACCCGTCTTTTCGTCTACCACACTCTGGCCCTCGATCTCGATAATGCCATCTGGCACCATTATAGCGCCGGCCTGATCGCGCGCAACCATCATGTGAGTGGGCTTTGCAGCCTTCACTACTTGTTGGAGCTGCTGTACGCCGGCAGCAGTGTCGGCCTGATTGGTGGCGGTACGCGTGAGACGTTCACCGTTCACGGGCTGGGGTCGTCTGGACTTGGGCAGGACAGGAATATCATCAAGGCTGCCATCGCCGTCGCTGCTGTCCTCTCCATCATCATCTTTTTGGGTGGACTCCTCCTCGTCATCATCAGACTGTTTGTCGTTGAGCAACAATATCTGTCCATTGCGAGCAAAGGCTAGACCCAGACCCCTTTCAGGCCCAAAATTATTTTTCAAATCGTCATCTTCATCATCATCGTCATCATCGAACTGCAGTGCATTTCTTCGTTGCTTGGGCTCGTCATCATCATCATCATCGTCGTCTAGACGACTGTTATTATCATAATCATCATCATCGTCGTCATCTTCATTCAGGAAGTCATCATCGTCATCATTTTGTTCCACAATCTCAAATCCCTGCACGACGGCGCCGGCATTGGCACGGCCACGCGGTAGGCCAAGGAAAAAATAGGGATGCTGGGACGCAGAAAGGCCCACGCGTTGCCCACCCAGAGCAGAGCGCTGTTGCTGCTGGATCCGCGGCTCTGTAGGCGAATATAAAATGCATAACGCAAAGCAATAGTATAGTTATTTGAGATCTGGATATACTTGTATTTTATTGATAGAAGTTGATACTCAGACCATTGTCGTATATGCATTTATGTGCACCAATACCATTACCATTAGCATTGCTAAAGATAATCCGTATGATCGAGCTGAATTATTGATTGCGAATATGTCGACGTTACTTACCGGCCAGTGCCAAGGCGAGCATGCAGCTCAGGATGAACAAAACGCTCAGCCCGGACATTCTGGTAATGGTCCTGCAATTGAGAACTGCGTGCTCTACTTATTTAGATTTGCTGTTACTTTACTTCTTTTCTATTTCTGCGCTGTGGAATTGTCCTAATTGTAAGCAGCAGTTTCGCAGAACTGTACAACTGAACGGGCCGTGCTACGTTTTTATGCAAAAAATTCTAAGCCAAGTTCTAAGCATTGCCAAAAGCGGCAGCGGCAGAGTCAGCAACGACGACGACTGCGGCGGCACAGCTAACCAAAAACCAAAACCAAACCGAACTCAAAAACAAAAACGACACAAAATAAAAATAAAAGTTCTAGCCGAAGCTCATCGCGGTGGCTAAGTGGCACCAAATAGGCACACGCACAGAATCGCAGACTCAGACTCAGAATCTGGGAAGCAGATACCCATAACCCGACCCATAGACGGAGCCAGAGCCAGCAAATAAAAGAGCGTCTTGGCTTTGACATAATTACGTCTGGGTAGCTTTAATCGGCAGCTCGCCGCATTCAAATGCCGGCATTTTCGCATAATTTCAAGTGGGGAATGTGAAATTCGAAATGTGGTTGGAAAGATTTCTAGAAAAGTTCAGTGACCGGCAGGAAGAACAAAGCCATCCACCACCACACAAAATTACATACAGATATGCGAAAATAATAATAATAATTAACAATAATCACAAGGCAGTCAGTCGAATATATGTACATATAAATGGCAGCCCATACGAATGGCAACTCAACAACTCAATTGGATGACTATGATTGCAATGAGAGTTGAAATCCAAAGTAAGAAATCGCCAAAAGTACATTGTGAGCCCAAAGGCCTAAAGGGCTTTAGCCACTGGCAAATCTACCGGCTCTGTCGCGTCTTGAAACTTCACGCTAATGACAAAACAATCCAAGCACGCAAGACACCGTGCGCCCTAAAGAGCCACCGATGCCGAGCCACCGGGCCGCCGCCGGGCCGTCGCCGGGCCGTCGCTGAGCCCAACCATCCAACCACAAATTCAATTCAGCGGCGCAAGCGAACTGCTCAAGCCTCCGCGTCGGCGCTCGAACATATACGAGTACCTTGAGTTCAACGCCGCCGACGACGCGACGAAAGCGTCGCCATTGTTGTGGTTGTCGCTGCCGCTGCCGCGATATATTGCTGTATTTGTTGTTGTTGTAGTTGCTGTCTGCCAATTGAAAATTGTTCGCGCAGTTCTCGTGACGGTTGAGTTCGAGGTGGAGCAGCCTTCTTCAATATTGCCTTCCATTTCCATTTGACCTGGGCCCCATGCTGAATAGAAGCTCGACATAGCTGGCTGGACCTGAACATGCCACCATTCAGGTGTTTGATTGACAATTTAAATTTCTGAATTACAATCAATGTATTATTAGGAACTTCCAAAATCCCAATCGATTTACATTTCAGTTCCTCCTACATTTTGCTTTCACGTCCTGTGCACGAAGGGACGAAGGGTCGAGGGGAATTACTTGTATGAAATCGCCCAGTCGTTACAGCCGATTCAGACATATCCGTCTGCTAATCTGTCTGCTTGAACGTTGAAAAGCTAGGAAAGTATGAGTCGCCCAACTCGGTAACGAATAGCCCAAGTCCAGTCAAGGGCAAATCCATCTTGTTTTTTGATAGGAACTCCTACCTCCCCTCCGGCCGACTGGCATTCTTTCCATTACAAGAGCTATAATTATGAAACTAGGTATCCAGATTCCCCTAAGCTCCATGCAGATCAAGTTGATGCTTTTCGTTCAGATGCACTCCCCCACTATTAGTGATTTTCCATAGTCCCCGTAACTCTTGGAATTTTTAAGATTGGCAGTGGGCAGTTGGCAGCACGATAGGTCAAATGCAATGTTGTTGATGTTGTTGCTTCGGCTCAGCTCTGTCCTGCACACATACACAAATACATAGTCACGCATAAGCACACATGGATGCAATATTGATATAAATGTACAAGTATTATATCCAAACTGTACGACTCTATGTACGTGTTGCGTACTTGTATTTTATATTTTATTCCTTTCATTTAAATAATTTACATACATAATTACTGTACATACATAATTACTGTACTATAATAAGGGAATTCCTTGGTAGAATCCAGAGCACACAATCCTTCTTTGCAACACCCTTGTGCAGAAAACTGACTCGGCATTTATGTTGTAGAGCAACAAAAAACCGCCAAGTCAATCATTGAAGTAACTGAATTTTGAGAGCATGAGAGAAGCCGAGCATAAGCCATTTCAGCGACTCCTGATACTTAAATCAAAATTACTATCATGACTACAACCTTTTGAAATTCATTTGACTGTAGTTTCTTGTTGAAAAGCGATTTTTTGTATTTCCATAATTTCTCTGAGGTCAAGAAGAATTCGAATTTTAAGCTTTCAGTAAAATATCCATTTTTTTTTTATGTAGTGGGTACAGGGTCTTTAAGAGTTGAGCCCAATCGACTCTAGCATTCCTTTCTTGATTTGTGATTCACACACACATACGCACTTTCTATACATGTGTCTTATGTATTATTTACTGATTCTTTAAATATTAAATTTGCGCACTAATCTTTAATGGCAAAATACATTCCGAAAATGAGTTTCAACTGCTTTTTAGCTAACAATGCGCTTTCGATCTCGATGCAGCTCACTGATCTGGGTTATCCACCATTATAGTTCTGAACTGCCTGTGTCTAAGCTCTATAGTCTTCTTAAACCCTGTATATAGTTGCCCCATCGGCTGAACCAATCGGTGTTTCAATCGATCGAAACTTCTGAAAACTTCTGAAGTTCTATCAAAATCGACATACCAGTCGGCTGCCCCGAATTGAAATTCTCTGTACCTATGTGTAAAATAATTACAAAAACTAAAAAAAAAAATAAATATTGAAAAACAATAAATAAAATTGTTGTTGCTGCTTTCGCTTAACTCTGTACTGCACACATGTAGTGTGGCCAGACACACATAGACACAATTCCAATACACTATAAGTGGGCAGATATACACTCTTCACCTGAGTTCGAATACCGAGACATAATTGATCAACAACATTTTTCTATTATTAAAATTTCGTTAAATATTTTTTCGATTTTCATAATTATTGTATATTTTTGTAATTATTCTATAAAAATTAAGATTTTGCTGTTGTGCTAAATCAACCAAATAAATCTGCTTTATGGCAGTGTACATGTATTCTAGCTACTTGTAGCTAGCTATTCCAATCGCTTCCGGAATAGGTTACTATTGGTAGGTGGAGGTTCGTTACCGATGCATCAGGCTTTTATTTGCAGCGCTGGCTAAAATGGGATACCATAATTGTTTGAATTGTAAATGATGTCGCGATATAGCTTGTAAATGCATTCATATAATACATCGCTTCACTCATATAGTGTTGGAATCGAAACAAAACACACACAAAACATGAAGCATTGCCAACTGAAAACAAAACATTGCACTAACATTTTAGTTCTCTATATTGTCCAACAGACAATAAATTCACTTCAACAATTTTTATATTCAATTTTATTTTGCATATAAAACATTCCAGGCTTCAAGCGCCGGAGTCCATCGCTTGTGATTCCCACCATCTGAAAAAACATTTCGGGATACGCCATTATGCAGATATGTTGTAAGCACACATGCGATAGAGGGCTTCAAGAACATATAATTCATTTATTGGCGGTGTTTCTTGTCGCTAATCTTCTCCATAAGTATTCCAGACATCGGCTCATAGTGTCATAGTCATAGTTCATGATGGCAGGTCCGCATGGCAACACGGAGAAAACTGCTGAGAGTTGAAAACAGAAGAAGAAAGTCTAAAAACAAAACTAATAATATGCTGATAAAGTTCAAAGATGTCAAATACCGAATGCGATGATAATCAGAACGTAGAAATCATATGCAAAGAATTTCGCGGCCAAAGACAGACAATCAAGAAGCCACAATTCTGACGGTTGTTATAGGGCTGATAAATCGATATATGGCTTACGGAGAAATCCGCACGTTGAGTTAAAAGATCAATGCACTTCACCTCGGGTCGAGCAGAAATGTGGAATTTTTGTGCTATGTTTTCAGTGCCTCTTTCTTTTAGCATTTAGCATTAAGTGAGTAGATAATAGGAATTAATTATCGGGCAAAATTTGTATTTTTGTTAGACAGCAACTAATTTGCTTTACAATGCCGAATTATCTGAATGGAAATGTATGTATGTCTGTCTGTTCATCTGTTCATCTGTTTGTCTGTTTGCATATGGCAAGTCCACAAATTCATAAAACAACGACCCAAGAGTTGAACTTGGCGCAGATGCAAATCGAAGAAATTTATCAATTTATGAATTCCTGATGTTGCTTTACAGTTAGGGCTCGAGCTCATTAGCCGAAAAGATATGTAAATATATGTACATACATACGAGTATATCTGGATATGTACTATGTATGTATGTATGTATGTATAGTATATACTCGTATGCTTGTATTTAGCAATGGCCGCAAAGAACACTTTGCCCACTTAACTGATCATTCACCCCTTTGTTGGCGGCCCGCACGCACTTGTGGCCGCTGAATAATTAATTGTGAACTCGTTTGAACCAACACTGGATCCCGTCTCCCTCTTTCCATCTTTCCCTCTATCCCTTGGCCGCCATGATCATAACAAGCGATGCGCCCACCCGAGGCTAGGAACTTGGCACTGCCATCACCACTGCCATCACCATCGCAATCAGAATCTTCATTATCTTTGGCATCCAAGCAACCGTCCGTCTGCCTTCCATCCATCCCAGTTGACGTTTGACGGTTGTCCACCTCTCATGGCAGCAGCTGCCATGTGGTTGTTGATGCTGCTGTTGCTGCTGTTTCTGTTGTTTCTGCTGCTGCCCCTGATGGGGCAATGAATGATGTTGTCAACGCTATTGAAATGGTGACGGCTGCGATTTCAACTGCCTTAAGCGACCAGCTCCCTGCTCGCATGGAGCTCCCAGCTACAATCTCGAAATGCTCGCATGTTGGCCTAATAATGTCCCATTGATTTCTATAACAATCTGCCACTTAGAATGACTGTGCGAAAATTATGGGCCTCAATTTTGAGGGGATTCCAAGCTTCAGACATTTTTACACAATCATGGATGGGGCGAGCAATTTGAGCTCACTTTGCCCCCCGGGTTCTTGTCTTACCTGTACAATTTTTTCAGTTTAGCTATTACATTTTATTATACATTCTCTGTGGGTGTAAGTAATATTTTGTTGCTGCCACCAAACTTCAAATTGGCAATCGTACAACCAAGACCAGAGTGACCACTAATAGCATTCATAATACATTCAATGAGTCTCATTAGGGCTATATGATTTCGCGACTTGATTTCCCGTAGACTATAAAAGTGTAAAGTCTAAATAAATCTATATCTATACTAAACTATTCTCGTGTCAGCACTTTCGCCTAAATATTCGGAGCAATTTCGATAAATATAAATGTACTAGTGCGCATAACTTTCAATATCTTAGATTCATTTGTTCATATACTATATTGTACGCACCACATTCCTACAAATTCTTGTGCCAGCTAGTCTTAAAAGGTCTGCTTTTAGGCACTCAAAAAACTATATTGCTAGGAACACCAATGCTCCATGGGCTTTTATTTCTGTATGGCATTATAGAATATTCCTATTAGCTACTTAATTATTGACTGCCATTTGCAGCAGGCCTTCTGTGTTTCATGTTTTACAAGTATGTATTCCTAACTGAACAAGCTCTAACTGACTTCTCATGAAGCTCGAAATCTGTGGTAGGCTGTATCAGTCATCTTCGATATAAGGGTTTATGTCGAAATTGGTGTGAGTCTCCGATGGAGATCTTGGAGTTGAAAAAGCTCCGTTCTAACTATAATCAAGTAATCATAAGCTTTCGCATGAAAAAAAATGGTTCTGTAACTTCAGTCATTTCCCAGATATTAAAAACGATCAAAGAGCAAACAGCGGGCAAAAAAAGCTCTAAAACTGCTCCATGCAAAAACTGTGTTTTCTATAACTTTACAGATTCCAGATTTTCCCCATAAATATGCATGACCCTTCTTTGTTTTTTTGTTCACTTTTTTGAGGAGGCAGAAATCACAATAATGAATACGTACGCCCTTATTAGTATTCAGCATATTTGAAGCATTTTTGGTGATTAAATGCGGTCAGTGACCGGCCGAACGAAACACACAAAAAAAAAAAAAAACAAAAATGATTCTCGCTCATTTCTCCGGCTGAACTTTCAACTTGATAAACAGAATTAATAGAATAGTTCGCCATAAAAATAAAATGATTAATTTATATGCGCTGCTCCAACCGGTTTTTGAATGCTAATTGATTGGCCAAAAAGCAAATATCGGTGGAAAGATTGGAGTTCACTTTGGGGTCATAGCTGGGATTAGCAGTTGTAGTTTCTTCTTCGCTTCAACTATATTTGGATTGGGCTTGGATTGCAACTTGGCGGCAAAAACACACACACACACACAACAGAGGAAAACAAAAAAATTTATTTTTTTCGCACACTTTTGATTGAAAATCGTTTTTGTAGTTTTCATATATGATTGCATTTCTTCTCATTTCTCTTTCAGCTCTCTTTTGATTTAACAACTACAGAGCGTGGTGGGTGTCCCCGCCTCCTATGGGGCAGGCACGCTGCTATCCGACTCGATCTTGGCTTGGGCTACGATGGTGGACTCACTATTGGGCTCGACAATTGCCACAGGCTGTTGCCCATCAACAACTTCAGTGCTTTTGACAGAGGAGTCGACGTCGAGCTCCAGGGGGATCTGCGCTTCGGGAATCTGTTCAGCGCTTATTTCGGGAGCGACCTTTGTTTGCCCATCGTCGTTGACCACCTCGACGGGAATGAAGTGCTCCTTGGCCGCTGTCTTTGTATCGACCACACCTTCAGGCAGTTCCTCGGTAAGCTTCTCGGCCAGACTCAAAGCACGCCCACCTTTTCGCAACGCAAAACGGCGGTTATGATGTACCAGATCGAAGTAAGGATTAAGGTCTCCATATGCTACGTAGCGTGCATCTCCGAAAGCAGGCTGTACATTGCGCATCAGGCCAGGCTCCCCATCTTCACCAACCAGTATGTACTCTTGCTCTGAATTGTGTTGCTCAGTTGTACCCTGGGCAGCCGCTTGGGTGGAAGAAGCACCAGCTGTTTCTGCAGACGCAGTGCCCGCAGCTGCTGACATATTGCCATCCAGTTCTTCGCTACTGGCTGACGCATTCTTCATGGGCGTGGATTCCATGGTCTCTGATACAGCTGGTGCCTTCTCCACAATAGTGCCGGGACGAATGCGAGTGGGCAGCAAATTGGGCGATCCCGAATTCTTCAACGGCTTAGCTGCAATAAGGAGTGGCGTGGCTGCGGCATTTGTTGTTGTTGCCGAGGTACGTGATGGCGGAATTTGTGGGGGCTGGAAGATGTCCATGAGGGACGCATCCGCCAGCAATGGAATAGCGGCGGCTGTCAACTGTGGACGCTTCTTCCTTTTCTGTGCATTGGTATTCCGTACGGGTACAGCGCTTATTGCATTCTGAGGAATGTTTAAGATTAGAGGCTGCGCCTGAATCCCTTCAGCAAGCGAGATTGAAGACTGATCGGGGGGAGATATACCCAGCTGACTCCACGGTATCGTTATGTATTGTGTGGGACGGTTCTGACGACGCACCGGCAATGTAAGGGGTGGTTGCGGGAAAGCGCTTGCAGGAACGCGTTGCGTCTTCTTCGTCTGATAATAGGAATATCCGTTGGATGGAACAGCCACAGGACTCAAGCTAAGCAGTTCAGGTGACACATATATCGCCTGGCCGTTGCGATTTACCAGCAAAGTCGTTTGCTGGGGACGCCGCAGCTTGTTTCCACTAGTCGCACCACTAATGCCCTGCTTGCTCAGTTTTGTACCCAACTCACCGGGCGTTTGGCCGCGCGTAAACTGACGGATCTGATTAATGATGCTTTGCTGTCCACGCTGAATGAAGGTGGGCTGATTTTGAGAGCGACGTGTGGAGTGGGAGGAGCCGCTGGAAGCGCTGCCACCTGCCGCAGACTGTGTACCGTAGTAGAAGCGATTGCTATCATCGTATACATTCTCTTCGCTATCGTCATCGAACTCGGCATCGTCATCCTCCTCATCCTCACTTTGCAGCTCTTCGCTATCCTCTGCAGCCTGTGCGGCGACCTGGGATTGCTGTTCAGGACGACGGCGCTTGGTAGACTGCACCAGGGGCTGGCGTTGGGTATTATGTTGTGGTTGGACTCGGCGGCGCGTCGACTGGGACTGGGACTGAGCTTGAGAATTAGTTTGGCTCTGGGAATGAACCTTGCGACGCTGTGTCTGCGGCTTCTGCTTTTGTTGCGTTTGCGCTTGCGTCTGAGCAGGACGACGACGTTTCTGTTTATTGCTTGTTTGCTCATTGACGGCCGAAGCATTATCGGCCGCTAATGAATGCTCATTATCTTCGAACTCGTCAGTATCATTGCTGGCATCGTCTTGGGGCTCTTCATCTTCAAAATGATCATCGAAACGATGGTCATCGAAGTAATCATCATAGTACTCATCGTCTTCCAACGAGTCTAGGCGATTGAAGTTGTTATTGTTGTTGAAGGGTCGGTTGTTGAAGCGGTTGGGACGCTGGCGGTTCCTGTTATTGCCATTGAAGTTGCCATTTCCATTGCCATTGCCATTAAAGTTGGCATTGCCATTGAAGCCAGGACGCCGTCCGGGCCGCTGTTGAACTCGGACTACAATGTCGGGACGCTGAGTGGTGGTTGTTGTGGTGCTAGTCGATGTGGACTCACGCACCGGCGTGTCCACTAAGCCAGGCAATTGCTGACCAGCTGCAGCCAGACGATCGCTGAACCAACCGGAGACGGAACCAGCCAGCGAGGAGATGGACGGCAAACTCTGGGCAGGATTCATGCTGAAGAACCAATTGTTATTCGCCGGCGTATTTGCTGGAGTGGCCTGCTTGCCCTGGAGCTGCTCCTCAATACCCGCTTGGCGGGGCTTGAAGGCGATCAATGGATGAATGATGAAGTCAGCCACTGTGTGTGGTTGGGTGGACTTTTGTTGACCTAGGCTGTCTGGATTGACCATTATGGTGTCATCAGCGGTGGCAACTGAAGCTTCCCTGACCACCGCAGGTGGCCTATCGGTGGGCGCATTGCTGGGCTCGTCTGCACCTTAACCACAACCGTAACCACACACCACAACCACAACATCATGCACATAAAAAAATAAGAAAAAAAATATAGTACACAACATTTTTGGATGATCACATGAATTGCACATTTAAAGGTTGCCTACCAATCAGCGCCATGTCGGCAATGGGAGATTCAGTGGACTCCTCAACCACAGACGCCTCAACGGCACCAATGGCACCAGCGGTAGCAGCGGTAGCAGCGGCTCCCACTGATGGCGCCACAGTGGTGGACACCACAGCGGCGTGACACGCATTCGCGACCAGAAGGGCGCACAGAGCAATAAAAATGGTGGCACTCGACATTTTTCTTTTCGCTTTCCTTTGCGAGATACGGGCGCCTAGTGCATTATACAATTCCTTAAGCGGTTCATAAACACATGCACCACCTGTACACAAACACACGCGCACACACTAAGACGAAACTAGATGCTTGTTGAGTTGTTTGTTCTTCTTGTTTTGTGAGTTTGTTTCACTTTTCTTATTGTTCTATTCGTATTTTGCTTTTCCTTCGTTTCTTATTCGTATATTAAGCTCGCCCTATCGATGGTCCACAGACAGACGATTCTTTTGGCCAACTGCTTCAGCGTGCGCGCCGACATGAGCTTTTTATGTTGCGGGTAAAACTTACAAAAAAAAAACAAGCTCCGAAGCTCGCCGGTCATTCAGCGAGAGAGCGGTCGTCGGTCGTCCATCGGCGGTCGACGGTCAGCGGTCAGCGGCCACCGACCAGCCGCCGGCGGCCACGTGAAGTTTTGACACCGTGCTGTCTCAGTTGACCGTTGGGCGCGCCTCAGAGTTCAGAGTTGATCGATGATGTCCATTCAACTTTGGAGCTCTGCCAGTTGTCGGAAATATGTATATATATGTGTATTCATGAATGTTTGTGTTCTCATTTGCTAATCCATACGCTGACTTTCGGCGCTCGGGTCAATTCGAAGTCATAGTTCCAAATGAAGAAACTCATTTGAAAAATGTATTCACCATTTTTGGCATACTCGTTTGAACTTTCCAGATATGGCATTTAGTATACTCGCATGTACTTATTTGGTAGCTCAAGATACACCCTACATTCTGCTACAAGGTTCTTAATAACTGCTTGTTACATATAGTCGTTATTTTTTATCCCGTGTCGCCTATCAAGATGCTCTACAAGTAAATAAAATAACTCAAACGTTTTCAGAAATCATTGACCGTTACTACTCTTATTATAATAAATAGTGGATTTAAGATATTTGTGTAGGATTGAACAAGAGAGAACGCTATAGTCGAGCAAGCCCGACCGCTAAATATCCTTTATCCACTCCCACAAAAAAGAAACAAATTTTTCATAATTTTTTAAAAGTTGCTTTAAAAAAATTTAATTAATTAATTAAATTAAATAGAAATATTCAGTACATACATACATAAGTGGAGACTATATACTACATATATGCAGTCTCAACAGTACAGAAATAAGTCAACGCAGCAACCACAACAGCTGTGGACAGAGCTTGGGCAGAGGTTACTTTTATAGCTGAAACTCGGCATACGGACACATAGTCATTAACAAGATACACTTACCGATTTTGAGTTCAAAGTTCTAGGAATTACGGAAGTTATAGGAAATCGTAAAGATTTGGTCGCGAAATTTTCGGGACCAAACCGCTTCTCTAATACGGCTGCTTTATTAGATAGACACAGAAGCTTCAGAATATTTATAGCTAAGATGTGTGGTCGATGTTCGGCCAAATATAGGTAAAATGCATTAATAGTGCTTAAATGTATTAAATAATACAATGATATAGTATATAACGAGTTCTTAACATCTATTAACTTAATGTTTGCAATAATATATCACTTTGGACATTGAATATTGAGAGTATTTTTTACATACCTCTAGCACAATAGATCTGCCAATCAGAATTTTGGAAAGCCAAGTTTATACTCGCATATATTTCTGTTTGATTTCCCCAAGCGATTTCCAGATGCTTCCCTAGCACATGGTAGTTGATGGAAAGGGTTCCTATTGATCATCCTGCGCTGATGAAGTCGATCGCTCGCTGGATCTGGAAGGTGGTAAGAATAAGAAAAAAACGTTTTTAAGTTCAATGAATAGGATTCGGACGACAGCTGAAGTTGCTAAATATTACGGAAATTTCTTACGCTAATGGAAAGGAGTAAAGAGTAAGAGCCTACGTACTATACATATAAATAATTTGTTTGCTTTTTCGTTGCAATATACTACTATATGATTGTGCCGATTCTAGCTATCTGCAATCCATTGTTGTGTCCCATTACGTCCATTTCAAAATGTATCGGCTAAAAAAATTGCCATTAGTCTGTTCATAGATAGAAAATCCATTTTCTGTTTCGACATCTTCCAACTGTGTTCATCCCACCGACCAAGAATACATTTTGTTGTAATTAAAAGCGTATTGATATGTTGTGGTTTTTGAAGTTCAGCGTTCGTTGAAAAATTCGGAGAGCTACGACCGCGTTTACACGATACGTGTTTGCCACGAAGTTCTTCGTGGTTTCGTGAAGTTGTTCGTGTTTCAGGCGAAGTAAGCCCTGCTTGAACTATGTCTCGATAGATTTAAACATAAATTAAGAGGAACTTGATTAATTTTGCTTCTATTTGGACTGAAATTGTGGAATTGGAAAATGGCTGAAGAGCAGTAACGAGACGACTTGCTGGATGCTGAAACTCTAACATTCTTAAGGTGGTTGTTCGGGGCAGCATTAAAATGCAAATCACTAACGGTTTGTTTTGACTGGTGAGGTTGATAAAGCTGTTTCGGTACCAAAAGTGTGCCGCATAGTTGCAGATTCCTGCATGAGCGGATTGCTGTCGATTTCTTTCAACGGGTAATCAGTTCTCTATTTTTAAATTGTGTCGAAAATAGCAAACTTTCTTCAAATGTACAGTTGATACTTTGACCTCTACGTTGAACTCGCCAGATAAAAGAAATCGGCCAGGAGCGAAACTTTCTTCGTCGCCTACCTACTAGTCTGCACACATACACACACACACACAGACACACGCACACTTACACATGCCCAGAGACAGACTAATGAGTATTTATACCTTTATTATGCATTTCCATTAGCAGTGCCTGCGGTCGCAGCTTCACTTTTTGCGCGACCAGCTAATGAATACATTTGGCAGCATCTTCTCAGCTTCATTTAGCATAATTTCGTTGTTAAAATATTTTTTTATGTCCAACGTAATGAGCCACAAATTTCTTTGAGATTCTGCGGCCATCGCCATGAAGCAGACGCTGTAATTTCTTCTATCCTCCCGCTCGCTGTCATCATTTAAATTATGACCACTGCCCTCAACTAACTTGTAAGCTCATCCATGCCATGAGCAAATTAATCCCAATATGCATATGCAAAAATTATAATTGGAAACCACAGTCAATGATTTGGTCTCCGAGTTTGGGATGGCCTGGCCTGCAAAGCAGTTCTATGAACTTTACTAAGATTGGGGTCAGTTCCACCACATAAGGTGAAAGGTCTCGAGTGCCTAATAAAATGGCAATCACGTGCTGTGATCTGTGTATCTGTAAATTGTTCACATTACATATATAGTTTGGCCAAGACTTCTTAAGTATATAAATACACAATTAAAAACAGTATGCATCGAAATGGAGTGATAAAAGGGACTACAAAAATAAATAAGAAAATAATGAAATATGTGTCTTTTATATTAAAATGCTTAATTAAAACAACCCACCCTCTGTACACAAAAATAAAAAAACCTAAAATTAATTTTCAAAAGATGTAATTAATTAAATAAATTATATATAAAATATTCAACACTTGTATACATAAGTAAGTGTTTAGGTACAGTTTCAACAGCACACATACATTTACATCAGAATCATGCGTGTTTATATGCGTGTAATAAGTTAAAGCAAAAGTTAACAGAGATTATATTTATGGCTATAACTTTCTTCACAATTGACCTATCATGGTGAAACTTGGCATACGGACACTTAAACACTAACCGAATAACTTATTACCAATTTGAAATTCCACGAATTACAAAAGTTATAAAAAGTAATTAATAGCGCGGGAGTGGGGGGGGGGGTCAGCCACGCCTCCTTCTGCGTGTTACATACATTCGCACGAAGCTAGTATTCCCTTTCACCTTTTACGTACGTAGGGTATACAAATCACGAAGCTTTATAGATTATTCTGTTTTTTGTTGATCAGTAATATTAAATTGCTTGGGGATCCTTTCCCGCCTTTCGGCCGCTGTCTCTAAATACATTAAAATTTTGGCCGTCAACATTTGACTTATTGCTAATTTCACTTTTGACCCCAAAAGCTGTTGACCATCTACGAGTATGCTTTCCCCTGCCTTGTTCTGCCCTGTTCTGCTCTGCTCTATTCTGGTCTGGACTGCTGTGGCAGCAACCCGCTCATCATTTTCGTGTCATTGAATCGTTGTCTAACCCAACGCATTGCGGACAACTTTCCACAGTGATGGTGGCGGCTCTGATGACCCGAAATGCAAATTTTCACAAGCAATTTTTGGCCAAATTTCGCCACTGTTGTTCTGTGGCAAATTGGCCGAGCGGCTGGTGGCTGATGGCTACGTTTGGAACGGGAACCGCGCACATTGCGTTGAAAAAAAAAAAAAAACGAAAATTTTACAATTTTACCGTATGTCGAAAGTTCGGGTCTAAATTAAAATTTCACAGCTTTGGAAGACAAAAGCAAACCGTTTAAGGAAATACACATACGAGTATGCATCTGTGTTTGTGTCTCATATGTATGCAAATAGGTTTCAAATATGCGTTGAAAGAGGTTTCTGTTGAGCTCAACCACAGACAATCATAAAATACTTCACATACATTGAATTCATATTTAATGTTGTATATCATTTTATTCTTGAACAGCAACTGCTTCACTGTTCGAGAGTGATTGCAACAGTGCTTGGATGCCTGTGGACTAGGGAAGACAGCGCTAAGCAGACGCACTGGGCCGCCCTATTGGCTGGTACCCCTCGTTCAACTGTTAGCCCACATGTCCATGCGTCCGTTTGTCGGCTTCGGTCATTTTGGGGCGGCTGCCGCGTTTACGCATAAATCAGTGCGAGCTGCGAGCTGACTGTCGCTGGGTTGGACGACGAAGATAACGACTGCGACTTAGACTAAGACTGCTTAGACATTTGCATAGTTTAATGATTTGCCATTTTGACTCAATATGTGGCCCATTTTTCTTATTTGCCATTTGCATGACGTTTCGCCTACTAACTATTGTTCTACTTCGATGCGAAAGTCAACGAGCAACAAACGTGAAACGGCTAAAGAGATTTTTACGATGCCGATGGCACGGGGCTTGGAGTTTTGGGGACTGTGCTCCGTATAAAATGCGTTTGGATTGGCACCTGTTGAACCATTTTATAGACACGCTTGCCCAGCGACACACGTCACACGATTCTTCAACACCGCAAGAGAGCATACGCCCAACAAATCACCACAAATTAGAGATCAGAACCACTCGGAGATTTCGCATCATCGCTATAAGATATGGCAATCAAGCTGTTAGCCTTTTTGGCCATTTTCTGTGCCCTGACAATCGCCTACAGTGATGGTAAGTAGTAGAAGTTGCATAAATTGTGCATCTAAATGAAATACTCTTCAAATATTATCGCGTGGTTTCACAGCCCGTCACGTATCTGGACATCGTGAACGCACACAGCACGGCCAGCAACACCGCGCACTGATTGCCAAGCCCCATGTGGCACAGACTCGCGTCTTTCCAGGTGCCGTGGCCATCAAGAAGCTGGTCCTCCTGAAGTTCAAGAAAATCGTGCCAATCTCACTGATCCTGCTCAAGTCCAGCAACGAGAACGAGGCTGAATTGGTGCCCGTCTATCCTACCGATCAGATACCCACGAATGTGCAATTCATACCCACGCCCAATGGCATTTCGGGCCACAAGGATGTCCAGGCCATTGCCATACCCAGTGAACTGCACGACCAACTTCAAATTAATGGCCTCTCGAACCTCGAGAACATTGAGGCCCTTCTACAGAACAGCGCCATTTCCTCGTCAGATGGTGATAGCGAAACGACTCCCATTGGCAGCAGCATTGCAGTGGCCCAACCTGAGGATGCCCCTCTGAACGTTGCCGAAAACGACGAGGACCAGATACTAGAGGGCGCCAGTGTGGAGCAGCAGTCAGCTGGTAAGCCAACCGCTGGTCTGCGCCGCCTCTCTGCCGATGAGTTGGTGCGCTCTGGAGTGCGCAACTCGGCCCAACAGCTGCAGACGAGCGTCGAGGAGATTCCCCTGCTGCTCTACTCCGCGACTGATGGAGCCCAGTATGCGCATGGGGCCGCCGGACACTTCAGTGGACGTCGGTACGTGGCGGCCACGCCAGCCCGTCAGCGTCAATAGCTCTCCTAGGGAGCGACAATTTAGTCTAGGCATAGTTTCAACTTAGCTCAAAGCTTCAGTGGTTGGGGGTCGCTCTTCTATAGACCCATTAGTATTTACTTGCTGGGATATTGCTATACATACTCTACAAACTGTGCTTATTCGCCTACCTACATACATATTCATAAAATTTTTTTTGCTTATCTTTAGACTGAACTGAATATAAATTAACGTTATGAAGAATGACAAAAGGTGCATTGCCATGTGTTTCTCTATCTCTTTTGCCCTGCACCATGGGACAAAAGGTTACAGTTCATGCGCTAAAATGAAAAACAGAACTATGCTCAGAAAATCACACATCAATACACATAGTACTTCAATTTAAGAAGGGGCCGACTCGCACCAACTCTTTGCATATATTATATACGAGTTCTGTCAGAATATAAAATATCAGCTTCCCTGAGCTTAAACTAACTATTTGGAATGTGTGATCAGATTCGATCTGGATATGAGTTGGTTTTTGTCAGTTGTGCTCTGGTTTACTGATATAAAAGCGCGCAATTCAGGAGAAATGAATGCATAATTGATGTCCAGCTTATTTATAAAAACTGTAAGCACATTGGTTTCTGATTTTCGATCTACTTGATCAATCAGGCTTATGACTAAGTAAATGAGAAAGTACATATTCCTATATACTTAGTATACTAGCTATGGAAATTATTTAATTATCCGACGCTTTTTCCTCAAAATGGCCGGCATGCATCTGCTGGAGATAATGTCCGGAGATCCCATAGTGGGGCTGACGGCGCATCAGCTCCGGTTGCTCACTGTGGGCGGCCAGCCAGCCTTGTTTGGGCTTATCAGCCACAGTGCCTGCAGTTATCAGAGGGGGGTACTGTCGCTGTTGCTGGCGTTGGGACTGACGTGACATGTTGTATCCTGCAGCCTGTAAATTTCTCTGGTTTTTTGTCCGTATTTTCTGTTCTTTTTTGCCATGGCCAGGCACAAAGCTACTCACAAGCATACACATGAAAGCGAGGCACAAAGGCTCCTGCCATATTGTAAGGAAGTCAGCGGCACAAAAAGGCACAACAAAGGCAGCGACAACTACACCAACATCAACAATAACAACAACAACAATGCCTAAGAGCAAAACAACAACTTCATTCCATTGCAGGCCATGTGACAGTGAAGCCGCACACACACGTCACGGGTTTATGCGTTCAGGCTAGCACCATTTAAATTCTTCGTAATAGCTTGCGTTAGTCTAGTTCTGATACAACCCATTGTCCTTTTCTACATTTCGTATTTTATATTCTCCATCGTGTTGGTACAACCTAAGATTTGTTTTGTAAAATGACTTTTCTTTTATGTCTTTTATGTTTTCCTTTATGTCTATACTTTATGCACCTATGTTCACAGGAGAAGATAGTTCCAAGTGCGGGTATCCTTAAATTTCTAAAAAAAAAAAAAAATTACTACACATACAACCCCTAGTTTAGACATATTTGTAGAACTTGTCACTTTGACACACAAACATTTTGAAAAACATCTTATTTAATCATCTACAAATACCATAACGTTTTGGGTGGGTTTTTCTTATTTGTACTTGCAAAACGAGCTTCTACAAAATTATGGTAATCGATGGAATACTACCTCCGAGCGATGATATGTTCTAAATGCTTTACTTACACTTGGGCGTTATTGAAATGAAACTTTGAACTTTGTTCACTAACATTCTGCAATCTGCATTGCAGCAATTTTTGTCATTGTCAGTACCCCAACAATTTATGTAATCAGTAAACGACAGAACACACAACTTTGTGCGATCCGAAGAACTTATAGGAGTACGACACCTTGTACTACTTCCATGATATATGGCTGATAGGCTTTTCTGAGCATTGCAATACACGCTGGCATTTACGAATTAGAACAAATTATGAAATGAGGTTTTCGAGAGAAATGAACCTCGCATAAACCCATAAGCAGGCTGACATGGATAGGCTCACATGGGTATATGCTGGCATGACTACAGATCCCTTTCAGCTCCCCCTCCTTCTTTTGCGCTGCTGAAAATCCACTGCTTGTCTTATTTAGCGCATTTTTGACAGTCGCCTTTTGTGTTGCCACGGGAGCCAAAAAACTGACACAAAGCGCTGACATTATGCGAGACTTTTTTAGAATATGCAAAAAAACAAAAAAAAAACAAAAAATGAATAAAAAAAATATGAGGAAAATCGGGAAGAAATCGGAACAGCTTTTTTTCGTCCGCATTCAGCGTCCAAAATACGGCGGTGGCACATAAATGGGAACACGTCGATTGTCCCCAAAGTACCGACCACAGGGCGGTGGTCCGTAGTAGGTGTAGGAACAGACAGTGCAGCAGTTGATGGGCGGAGTCACTATCACCACAGGTGGACGACGCGGTGGTGGCGGCGGTGGTGGTGGTGGCCGTATCGGTGGCGTTGGTCCGATGCTGCAGCAAACCTGCGGAGGTGCCGGTACCGGTACCGGTGGTGGCACTGGAAAGACCGGCACAATCGGGTATTGGCAACAGCGGTTTTGTTGAAAGGCCTCAAGCGTGCAGGGGTTTACGCACGAATTGAAGAGATTGTTAACCAAATCGGAGATGAAGCTGAAGGTGCGACCCTGTCGCTCACTGATATCTATGCTGCCGAATGTATCGATGGATGTGTTGTCTGGTCGCAGATCCTCCAGACGCTCCACGTGATGCATTTTCAGGGTGTCGAACTTATTGCTGGTGTTCACAAAGGATCGCATTGGCTGCAATCGATGCAGACGCATCGGCTGGTGGTTGCGTGAGTCCACTGGGAGCAAAGTTTGGAATGAGAAGGGCGTATGAGTGGCAAAGAACAAGAAAGCACCTAAAATAAATCATTCACTAGAAACTATAACTTCTCAGCTGTTGTAATGTCTTTTCTCAGGCACTGGTTCCCAAACTAACTAATTACATTTGCAAACTAAAACAATTGTCTAAATAAATTCTCTGACACTCATCCACTGACGATTCGACGAGGTATCAAAACTTTCGCCCTTCACACTTTTCAATTCTATTCTATCGCTTATACACGTACTCGCTTCTATTCCATCACGTTCTACAGACGGAGAAGAATCGATATATAGTGTTTGCATTTTGTTTCCATTCTCGTTCCAAAAATCCTTCCCAAGTTATGTGCATAAGTATTTCAGCAGTAAGACTAGCTTTATCTGGTGCGCTGGGGGGTGTTTCGGTGCCCCCTTTAAAAAGTATACACCTCTCATATGAACTCACGAAATATTGTTTCTGTTGCTTCTTTTGTGCAGTGCTTGTCTCATATGACTTTTAACAATATTTGTGCGACATTTTCACATCAACGCACTAGCTGTGGCAGCCTAAAAATAGGCAATACTTGTACTATTCTTAAATACAGAAAGCCAAATCACATCCCATGGTGCACGATGATGGTGCGTCACAGTGCTGCAAGGTGTGGTGCTTAAAATTAACAAATGCATTTTTATTCGGTGCTTACAGTGACAAAAAACAAAAAAAAAGTGGTGTACGAAAAAAGTTGTCAGTTGAATAAACATGATTATTAACTAACCACGGAAATTGTTGAAACCACCCAAAACATTGCTGTTGGAATTGGCACCACCGGCGATTCCGCTATTGGCGCCAGCATTGGCTCCTGCGCCGCTGCCACCACGATTGGCGGCACCACCTGCCGAAGCATTTGCACTGGCATTGGCACTCTGACCGCCTTGACTGGTGGCTGTGGCGCTCGAGGAAGCCGAATTGGTAACGAAGCCATTGGGGCCGCGTTGGGAGGAGATGTTGGCATTCGTATTGGCCGCAGCATTTCCCTGTCCATTGTTTCCCTGAAGAATGGACTGACTGTTGGCTCCCGAAGTTACCGTCTGCCGATTACCCTCCCGTTCCACCTGCGTATTGGTGTTGGCGATGTTCGTGGCTGAGCCAAACTGATTGTTATTCGTCGAAGTAGATCCGCTGTTCGATCCGATCGTCTGTCGATTGCCCTCCTGCGTGTGCAGCGTGTTGGCATTGGAGCTAGTCGCTTGCTGCTGTCCCTGCTGGAAGTTCAACGACTGGCTCTGGGCGTTGTTCGATTCGCGTGTACCTGCCGCATTCACCGTTTTCTGTTGGTTTGTGTTCGCCGAGCTCACCTGTCCTCGATTGCCATCTTGCGCAAGATTCGAGCTAATACTTGAGGTGCCCTGATCACTGGTGAAGCCATTGGGTCCATTTTGGCGATTAGAGTGTGAGTTCACGGCGGCCTGCTGGTTAAAACCGGGGCCACCATTTGCATTTGCCGCTCCCTGGGTCCCTTGCTTTCCTGGCTGTTGGAAGCTAGGACCGCCGAAGCCACCAAAGCCGGGCTGCTGGAAGCCGCCAAAGCCGGGCTGCTGGAAGCCACCAAATCCGGGCTGCTGGAAGCTGGGCTGCTGAAAGGCTCCAGGACGACCAAACTGACGACGAGGGCGATCAAAATCGAATTCGAAGTTACCAAAGTTTTCCTGCGGATAGCCGAAGGGTACGAACTGCGCCCGACGCTTTGGTCGACTGAGACGACTGGCAGGCCTATTAATGGTGGATAGCTGCCTATAGCCCACAGGTGTACGTCGCCGACGTGGCAAAAATGGCCCTCTGATACCACCGAGAGTGCTGCCCTGAGTGATGGCATTGCCACCAAAGCCGCCAGTATTCGCAGATGTCTGGCCGAAACGTGTACGGCCCACAGCATTGGAATTGGTTCGGGTGTCCGTGACACTGACGCCACCATATTGCTGTGTGTTTGTCTGCGCGTTGCTGTTGGCACGGGCCTGCGCTCCCCTGCCTTGTGCGTTGACCTGAGCCTGCGACAAGGAGTTGCTGTTGGCCACATTGGGATCCAGATCGAGATTAAGTAGACCCAGGCCTAGGCGCACATCTCCATCAGGTCCACGCTGCAATCCGAAGCCGTTTCTTAAATTTTGCGGCGACAGTGAGGCACCAAGTCCCACATCACCCACACGGAACTGGTCGGAAATGCCTCCGGACACAGCACCATTCGTGTTGGTGCGCGTTCGTGTCAGCGTGTTGCCAATCTCGAGGCCTCCCAAATTGATCTCACGCGTTTGCGCATTACTATTCGCAACGCTGCGTTGTCCACCTGCCGTTTTGGTCACGGCCCGTGAGTTGGACACACCCTTTGTTAGTTCCACATTGCCAAAGTCAACATTACGTTCGTAAGCATTTGTATTGGCTTTTGACACGGACCCTTGGCGAGGACCGCGGATGACGCCTTGCTGCTGCTGGTAGGGTTGTTGGATGAATCCTGGCCGCTGGAAGGGACCGCCAGCAAAAGGCAAAAATTGTGCCTCAGCTGACAAAAAAACATACGATAGTCTTTAATAGGCGTTTTATTAATATAACGTTAGTTAGCATAGTGGTCTTGATCATCTTATTAGCTTCCCAGCTACGACGCAACGCAAACGCTCTTTGATTTGCAGTTAATCTCAAACGACAACAAAAAACATACTACCAAAAAGCAATGGATTTCGAGAGATTGGCATAGACTGTGCTCAAAAATTGAAAAGTTGGTGCAATCTTATGTAGCATATATATATATTTTATATTTTTTTGATGAGACTTATGTAACGAGTTGAAGACGTCATTTTTCATATGACTTTTCACCCGAAGTGTTCACTTCACTTCCTAATGGAATAAAACAGAACCGTTTCTTTCTTATCCACAAAAACTCGCAAAGGTTTTTTCACCATCAGATTCATGTTCTAGCAACTGGTAAGGAAACTGGGTATTGTTCTATCAACTACACAAAACTAAACGTTAGGATGATTGAGGAAAATCGAAAATCGCACTGAACTGTTTTACTTGGTTTTGCACAAAGTGGGACTTTTTCTGCATATGTTGTTCATGTTTTTAGATCTTTCAAAAGCTCCGTCTGAGATCCACGTGGATGTAGTCCGTTTCCAGGGGAAACACATTAAAGTAACTCCAAATTGATCCCGAAACGTTTGTTCAGGTATTTTCCAATGCAAGGTAGGAAAGTAGGACGGACAAGCAAAACGAACCAAGAGTGTGTGTTTCTCTCATACAGGTGAAGTTCCTCAATTTTTGACCATTCCAATTTGACTGGTCGATATAGGGATATATGTATATACTGGGACATGCGTTGTGTGTGTGTGTGTGTGTGTGTGTGTGTGTGTGCGGGCCTATGTGGTGGTGGTACCGCCGTCGCATCGCTGCTTGCCAAGATGAATGGAAAAGTTTTGGCAGCTGCAAAACTTTGTAAATTGTTTGAGATATTAAAGGTAAACATATCCGTGCCTCTCTCGCTGGCGCCAACATGAAAACCCCATGCATTTATAATCCCCAGCAAGAACAACAACAGCAGCGGCTACAAAAATAACAACAGGAACAGGCTCAACAAAAAACTTGTTCCGCACGCAGCTCCCTTCATCGCCAGCATGCCAGCACTCCAGCGCTCCAGAGCTCCAGCAGGCCCCCTGCTTCTTTGTCTTATTTTTTCGATGGTTTCTAATTTGAATATCATTAAATTTTTCTACAGTTGCGGTTTTTGTTTTTGAAGCTTGTTTGCCGTATTTTTTATGCGCAAACGTTCAGAGAAAGTTTCCTGCGTCTTAGCACAATTTGATTTTGGCTCATGTAGTAAAAGTTCAAGATGCTGAAAAGTATCCGTTTAATCTGTGCATTCAAATCAGGCCTAAGTGCTTCAGCTCATACAACCATGCAAGCCTCAAAATCTGGTTAGAACAGAAAACTGTAAACATTGCGTTCTCTTCAGAAACCATTTTGATTTCAGATTGCATTTCCCTCTATTTTGCTTTTGGTAACAACGAATAACAACGAAAAATACTCGTAAAATATTTGATCATTTAATGGGATGAGTTAATAGAATGAGATAGAATAGAAATTAAAAAAATAAAAAAAGTTTTAAGAACATTTTATGCTAAAACTCAGTGGTATATATATTCTTGATCAACGTGACGAGAGAAATCGTTCTAGACATGTCCGTCCGTCTGGATGAGCGCCTGGATTTCGGAAACGGTTGATCGGTTGATGGTATACAAGTATAGACGCTCCCTGTCCCTACACGAGCTTATATTATTTTTCTGATTTTCTATACCTTCTCCCCCCTACAGAATTTCGTCAATACTGTCAAAATTTCAAGCTCGCAGTCTTCTATATGTAATTATCTACTTTGGTTTTAAATTTATTAGCTAGGGACGCGTATAATTCAGTGACGGAAGTTTGTCTGGGTACAGGGTATTTCACTGTCGGGCTTGCTCGACTGAAGCGTTCTCTCTTTTTTCCAAATATCTTTCTCATATCTGCAGTGTGCTGCTAATGCGGATCTATTCTTTACTTATTTATGGACTTTTTTTTTGCGAATTGAGTACAAACCCCACTTGTTACTGTTGTGCGAAATTCTACAGAAAGCCGGAGAAGGAGTGTAAATGTACTCGTATGTGTGTAATAGCATATCGGGCTGCAACAGAAGACGGAAGAAGGCCGGCAGAGGGATAACTGTTATTTGCGGCTCATGATCAGGGATTTTTGCCAATGTCGGCCAATGTTTGCGATGTTGCTGAACGTGGGCTTTTATGTAATGCTGCCTAACTGAAATTATCCTTTTCTAATAATTTTGTTGCTGCTGCTATTGTTGCTGTTATCGTTGCTGCTACTGTTTTTGTTGTTGTTGTAGTTGTTGTTGTAGTTGTTGTTGTTGTTATGTGTTGTGCCTTTTACGCGGGCGTCAAAATGCAACGCACGTAGGCACAAAATCCAGCGATAATTTTGCAATTATTGCTGTAATAACAATGGCCAACATATCCACAAACCACACAACACACACCAAGGAGCGTGCGCTTTTTTGTTTTTGAATTTTAGGATGTTGCAGACATGTACACACACACACACACACACACGCAAGCAAACAAGCTCGCACACGCGCTCACACACACAGATACATATATAAATATTTACCTTGTGGTTGACAAACTGTGAGCAGACACACAATTAATCCAAAAAATGCGTAACGCATCCTGACGATGTGTTGCCGTCGTATCCGTGCCGTCGCTGATATATACGCACTGGCGTGTGTATATACGTGTAGGTTTATGGGTGTATGGATGGCTGCTTGGATGTCCGTGTGAATGGGAAATCCGCAGCATATATGTAAATATGTTTTGGGAATGTGCGCTAATTTCTGTTGCGAAAACAGGCACGTTGTCAGTGTTCCGCTGCCTCTTCTTTTGTTGCTGTTGTTGTTTTATTGCTGCAGCTCCTAGCGATGTTCGGTATATACGGATATATGTATATAGTATATCGACGCGATAAATTCTTTACTGTACCGCACGTGTTGTACGTTAGGCATCCGTTGGCATTCTAAACCCTGCGCTGGCTTGGTAATCGAGCTTTAAACTAAACAATAATTAGCGCGTTTTATTGATTAGATGCTGACGATGACGATGATGCTGACGCCGACGCCGACGCCAAAGTCGGCGCCGACGCTGCAGCTAATGTGGACGCCAACGCTGGCCGGACTATCAACACCGACACCAACACCAACGCACTGAGTTGTGTCGGGCTGATCTTCATCGGTGGCAGTGTTAGCCACATTATTAGTGCTATGATTACACACACACACACATACACACACACACACACACATACTCACAGACACACTCGAACAGTTTGGGCTTCGTACACACACAGTGGTAAGTAAAATTGAATGTTGAACAGGTTGTGTTTGGGCCGCCTGCCCCTCCCCCTCCCCCTCCACCAACGCCCAAAAATTCTGGTCAGACTTGTTTCCGCTCAAACAGAACAATAGCAACAACAACAACAACAATAACAACAACAATAACAACAACATTAACAATAACAATGCCGCCTCATTGTCTTTGGGCCGTCAAGTGCTCGTCGCCACTTTGACAAGTTCATAAAACAGAAAATATGAGGCAGCCAACAACTTGATTATTACATATTTTTTGCGACCATAAAACCGCCCGGACATGTATTCGAAGAGCCATCCATAGCCGCCTCGAGGCGTCGGGGGCTCCCAACTTTCTGTTTGCTACCACCACCTATTTGTATGCATACTTTTTTTTGCTTCTTTTCGCATTCTCAACTCAGCATTATAACTGTTTTCGCAAACTAATGTTTTTTCATGATGGGAATTTTTTTAAATGCGAGGCGGGGATTTTTTTTCGTATATGCTTAATTCGGTTAGCAACTTAGCTCCATCACAGTCGTGGAACTGGATGGGCTCCAGCCAGAACAGATTAATGGAACTGTCTTTTTTGGCAGATGGATGCAAAACCAAAACCACCATGCATATTAAGTAGAGTATGTGTAAGAGGACGCTCCTTTGCTACAGCTTTAGACAGAAAAGGTCTTCATAAAACATTGATTACGCTCTTAAATGCGATTTAGTTTTTAATATCCGGTCAAAAATTGCTTGGCCGGTTTTCGGCCAAGTTCTATAGGCTTCGAAGATTGTTTACAAATTTATGATTCAATAATAGTCGAAGCTGTTTATATTACCAGCTTAGATGCGGAAATAAAGGGAAAAATATATGCGTGTACAACCTTTTATAAATCTGTAAGTATACTATGTTAGTTTCAGTATACGTGTATAACGAATAAAACGATCTAATATCTTATTAAAATATACAATCAGAAGAAGATATACATACCTCAACTTTTGAGTGTTTAAGTGTCCGTTCGTCAAGTTTCATCTTTCATATGTCAATTATAATGTAAGTTTAGCCACAAACCAAATCTCTGCCGATGCTGATATACGTACACACTCACGCACACACACATGCTCATAGACACGCACACACATGCACATAGACACAATGCCGGCAAAAAATGTCATTAAAACAGTACATCAGCATATGTCTCTGTGTTAATAATTTCGTATTCTATTTATTTAATAGAAACAACAACAAAATTAAAAAAAGTGTTCCTTTTTTTAATGAGTGGGTATTTCCATAATTTCTTTGGGGTCAAGTAGATTCCAAGTACGATTTGAGAGAAAGTTGTGCATTTCACATCGCCAGCTTCTAGCAATGTCTGTGGACGCACACGCTTATTAACGATATTTACCATCAAGAAGCTTTAAAATTATTGGGAGAATCCAGATAATGCAGAATTTTTGGACTAGTACATCTGAGAGCACCGATCTTGACATGCACTCGTGCCGTGTACGTATGAAGGGCAAAAAAGCAAAAATGAACAAATTGTTTAGTTTTGTAGTAATGGAGTATGGAAGAGATGATCCCACTCGTATATAACTAACCTATCCCTTCAGGTGATAAGGCATGCACATTTAATTACGAATGCATTCAATACACAGAGATCGGTGAACACGATTTTGTGAATAGGGAGTACGATTGAGATTTCATTTACTCATTGATTGCAGAACACATTTTTGAACTCATTAGGTTATTAGAATATAATGGCTTTCCGTTGTTGCACATCCACATTCACATGGTTATGCATGAACACGCTCAATTGTTTCCATTGGGCATTCATGGTCGAGTCATGATTCATACGCCCCTCCCTCTCTCCACTCGGGAGAGTGGCCCCCAAAACTAGCGTCGTAGCAGGTAGCATCGGTCGCCGGTTGTCTCGATTGACCAGTTTCAAGCCCCCGTATATGTCGGTACGGAGAAAAATACCGGTACAGGTAGTTCCTCCGTCAGGGCCAAGCACAGTGGCGTTCATTGAATTCACAGCTAGATGATGGACAATGTACGCACTTCAGGCCAGAGCCAGAGTCCGAGTCCGAGTGCGAATCAGAGTTAAAGCCAGACCCATACCATACCTATACCCGTACCCATACCCATACCTGGCCTGAATGTGTTTGCTAAATATTCATGAGGGCATCGTTCAGCCGTCCGTTTTCATTTTGGCATAAAAAACAAATTTGGTGAAAACCTGTAGCCCATGAAGTCGGACGGAGCGTCTGGCGACAACAGCCTCTGCGCCAAAATGTGAATTTGAATTAGGTTCTACGCGCATCTGTATTATAAGTATACGAATATACATCTATGCATACGTATTGACTAAAGTGTTTAGCATTTGGGGCCAGTGTGGCAGCTGGAAACTTTTCTACGGCCAACTAACTGGAATCACTCACGCCATCGTAGCTCGCACAATGATGCTAACTGTGGAGTCCGTAGGACCCGCAACATCGGTGTGTAAGTTGTAGCAATAAATTAGAAAACAAGTTATGTCCGTCAAAAGCGTCTAATAACATTGTTTATTCTAATCGCTGTCTGTGTGAAAACAAAAACAAAAACAAAAACATATACGTACCCTCTTAAGAGCTCTGCTAAATTGCGTTTTTGATAAGTTCTTCTGCATTTTCTCAAAACGCTTTATTCCAAGCTGATAAATAAAAACCAAAGCAACATGGACCACTCTTCCTGCACAATATACAATTACAATTGTTCGATCGATTGATTGAAGCGGGGGCCTGGTCGTCAAATTTTGTTTTAATATCCATCCTTTTAGGGTTGTTGTATCACATATACTTACTTAGTATTCTAATTGGAATTGGAATCCGAAACTCTGCCCTTTATTCGTATGACAACTATTCGAATGTAACTGCTCTTCTCATTTGCAGGAGCAGTACTGAAAAGCAATTTTTTTAATCTTGTGAATAATAAATAAATAAAAAATATAACTAAATGAGAAACCAGCAAAACGAACGAAACATAGTTCGCCTCTATCTATTAGTTTACCGAACAGCTTGTGAAAATCATATGTACCAACCGTAACAACGTTTCGTTCTATTAGAAACAATTGGGGACTAAACCATTCTTAAAAGAAGTACTATATGTAGGCCTTTTACTGCTTTATTTGTATCTCTAATTTGGGAGCATTGCATTTTTGTTATTTCAAAGCAGGTGCCTTTTCCATTATAGTATCGGTTATCTTCTAATTACAATGTTATATTTTTATACAATTAGCAAACTACTGCCGCTGTTTATTTTGGTCGATGGTCCCGATTCCCGGCACCTCAAAAGGGCTCGCTTTCGCTTCTCGAGTTGTACTATACTCGTATATATACAAGTATACGTGATCGCTGATTAGTTGAGCTCATGTATAAATCTGAATGCATGAACTGGTTTCCTGATTAACGAAGCGATATTGATGCTGCTTCATGGCATATGGGCTGAGAAAATGTCATTAGCCTCTGGCAATGAAGGTGGTCATAGACGTTTACGTGCTTCCGAACATGGGGGTACACATAGCTAGGTACTGGTACTCGTATTAGGCATAAACAAAAGTGTCATCTCATAAAATAGACGCAGGTGTGAAATCAAACAGTCGGCCTATTAATAAGCCCACTGCTTCGATAGTGATTCCTATATCTGTTTGTATGCAAGTGTGAGTCTTAATGAGTCGTAAACGGCGGAATTGGGTTTTTTTTAAACACATTAATTCCGTTCGCTTGCTTGCGTACTTCAAATTGAAATTGCCAAGTAGTGGAGAGTCATGGTCGCTAATAACTTGGCCAGCTTGACTCGTTCTTTAAACTTTATTTATTCGCAAACAGCCTGCATATTATGTGTATACACACATACTCGTATTCATACTACATTGTGTTCATGTGTATGTGCGTGGCAGACACACTTTTGAAATCGACATGGAAAAGAGAGAGCGCGAACGACAGATAGAGAGAGAGAGGGCGAGTGAGAGAGAGAGGGAGAGAGAGGGAGAGAGAGAGAGAGAGAGAGAGAGAGGGAGACGGAAGACGAAGTGGCTAATGTTGTTACGTCCAAAAATTACCTTTTATTTATTTGTAAACTTTATTTCTATCGGTTATCAGCGCAATGGCATCTTTACGGTGGCAGCTCCAAACAGCCGCCCTCGGGCCCCCACCCGACTCGCTCGACTCGCTCGATTCGCCCAGCCCAGCCCTGCATTGCAGCCTTCAAAGCGCGAAATGGAGTAGAAAAATTGTTTCTCTATCAAATGCGAAAAATCGCCGTATTGTCTGCAGGCCACGCTCCCCTCCTCTATCTATGGGCGGCACACGGCGCCCCGCACACATACTACTATATACGTATGTGTGTTGTTTTTGGTTAATTGTTGTTTGTGTGGTTGCTGCACTTGTTGTTGTTGTTATTGTTATTGCTGTTCTGTCGCCGGACAACTGGACTGACTTGAACTTTTTCGATTGCTTTTTCTCTTTTTTACGGCAACAGTAATTGCTTAGATTGCAATTTTGCTGTTGTTTTAAGCCCGAG